TTTTTGAAAATTGGGACCACTGATGCCACCCTCCAGTCCTCTGGAGGGTGGCATCAGTGGTCCCAATTTTCAAAAAGGGTAGTAGAAGGGACATGGGGAATTACAGACCAGTTAGCCTTACATCCATTGTAGGAAAAACAATGGAAAGGCTCATAATAGAGAGAGATCTAGTGATGCTAGATGGGGAAGGGAGGCTGACAGCCACACAACACGGCTTCCGCAGAAACAGGTCCTGCCAGACAAACCTTGTGGAATTCTATGACAAGGTTTCGAGATGGCTAGGTGGAGGGGATGCAGTGGATGTGGTTTACCTGGATTTCAGCAAGGCCTTTGACAAAGTGCCCCATGATATCCTGGTTGAGAAACTGAGGAGTTTTGGGATACAGCAAAGCACTTTCCGATGGATTAGGGCATGGTTGATTGACCGAAAGCAGAGGGTAACCATTAGTGGGGGATCATCAGGATGGCAACCAGACAAATGGGGTCCCCCAGGGCTCTGTCCTGGGGCTGATCCTGTTGAATCTTTTCATAAACGACATGGAAGAAGGGGTGAACAGTCTGCTGATCAAATTCGCAGACGATACTAAAACTGGAGCAGTGGCCACAACTGAGGAGCAGGTACTCCAGATCCAGAAGGATCTGGACAGACTATGGAAGTGGGCAGGAGACAACAGGATGGCGTTCAATGTGGATAAGTGTCATAAGTATAGGTTAGGGGACAAGTGGCTGGAGAGCAGCACTTGTGAAAGGGACCTTGGGGTGCTGGTTGACTGCAGGCTAAACATAAGTCAGCAGTGTGATATGGTGGTCAAGAGGGCGAATGCCACCCTTGGTTGCATAGGCAGAAGTGTGGCTTCTAGATCGAGAGAGGTATTACTACCACTCTATACGACATTGTGGTGCCCGCAACTGGAGTACTGTGCTCAGTTTTGGGCCCCTCATTACAGTAAGAATATAGCCAGGTTAGGGTCAGTGCAGCGTAGGGCCACAAGATTGGTGGCCGGTTTGCAGGGGATGCCATATGAGGCGAGACTGAGGGAACTGGGTCTCTTCAGTCTGGAGAAGAGGAGACTCAGAGGGGATATGTTGGCGACATACAGGTATGTGAGGGTATGTCACACGGAGATGGGTAGAGACCTGTTCTCCCTTGCAGAGGAAGGCAGGACGCGCTCCAACGGAGCAAAGCTCAGGGAACCAAGGTTCCATTTAGATGCCAGGAAGCACTTCCTGACAGTTAGGACCCTGGGGTATGGAATGGGCTTCCACGGGAGGTTGTTGAGGTCCCATCGGTGCGGGTGTTCAAGGATAGGCTGGACATGCAAATGGTGGGAATGGCATGAGCGGAGCCGGCTTGAGCCGGGGGTCAGACTAGATGGCCTGGGAGACCCCTTCTGACTCTCTCTGTTTCTATGTTTCCTGCACAGTGTTTTCAAGATGTAAGTCCTGCCTCACTGCGAACTCTGAGGGAGTCTTGATGGCAACAAGAAGGAAGATCTTCCCAATGGCACCCCCACACACGTTATAAACCAATCCCCACTGAGGATCTCATAGCGCTAACACTGTCATCTACTCAGCACCAGGTTAAGATTGCCCTCTCCTCCCAGGCATTTAGAGGCATATGATGGGACAACATGTCAGCTGTTTTAAGAGGTCTACTTTTTTCTGAATTATTTTAGTTCTTTCGACTGCTTTAAATATTGCATACTGGAATTTTACACTACATTTTATTGTACTGCTCTCTATCTTTACTATTGTACTTATGTTTATGAATGTTTGTAACTGCCCAGAGAGCTTCACTATTGGTTGGTATAGGAACAGTAATTTTAAAACAGAAGATTGATTGGAAGAAAGCACTCACAAAATCAAAGCCTGTGATTATCAGGAGAAACGTCTATTATTATGTTCCTTTCTGGAGAATGCAGTCACCCTTATGTATGGGCAAAACATATTACTGCTATAATATAAGAACAGAAAGGCAAGCCCACCTGGGCCATTCTTACATATAATTTAATGTCATGAAAATAAATTAGCTTTCAGGCGTTCACACCTTTAAATACACACCAATACAAAACTCTGCTACAATGTGTGCTCAGTTTCAGCATGTTAGAATAATTTCGAACAGCCTACATTGGAAATAGCAGTGGTTACAGGTCAATACTCTTGAGAAGTATTGAGCTGGCATCAATACTTCTCCAGAGAGTTTGCACACCTACAGCCCCATGGCATCATGTTAATGCCAACCAGTTTGTGCCTGCCCGTTTACACACCAGTTGTGCAAAAATCCAACTTTCACCTTATTACAAACTAGAACTCATTTTTTCAGGTATGGTGTATAACAGGAGAATACTTACCCTGACTCTCTCCATTTGAGTGCTGAAAGGGTAAAGAAGCTCAAACAAGATCAGCCCCAAAGAGAAAATGTCTATTTTGTGTGAATAAGTATTTCCATAAACCTAGAAAATACAAAATAAAAATACTGAATTCATACAAGCTACATTTATTCCTTCCTACTCTTATTTCTGCCCAAACTCATAAGAGCAACTCAACTTAAGTCAAATCACTTTTTAAAGCTGTTTTTAAAACTTTCTTTCTTTCTTTCTTTCTTTCTTTAAAACTTTTAAGACCGTCCCTTACTGAAGTCTCGGGACGGTTTAACATTGTACCTATATAGTACAATGTTAAGAACCTGCGTAGCAAAAGACATGGAATTTAGAAAAAAGTGCAAGTACAATACACCTCAATTAGCAGGAGAGTCTAAAAAGTGTACATGCTTATGTCTCTAAGTTAAATGTCTACCTCATAACTGCTGCTGCTGCTGCATGTGAGGAAATGGAAGGATGTGGGAACCCCCTTCATACAGTGGACTAATGTAAAAGTGAAAGAGAGAGTGAGAGGAAGAGTATATTTACATTGTTCAGAACACAAAAGAATAGCAAAATAGGCGATACATGCAGATAGAACTGCAGCCAGAAAGGGATCACTGAGAAACAGCAGGGAGGTTTCAGAATGTATGGATAAACCTTAAGATTTACCAAAGTACTAAAAAAATTAGGAAAACAACTCCAAGGAGGCAAACCCTCCCCCAAACAGCAAAATGAGGCTCGTGACCATAAAATACCAAGGACCTTTTGGGATAGGGTAATGAAAAGCTGGGGGGGGGGGGGCTAAAGCATCCTGGAAGAGGGCTCCAGCTTGCTAGTAAGCCAGCTGACATGATGAACTCAAAACTGCAATATTTACATCCCTACCTGAAAATATCTAAACCTCCACACACTACAGTGCAGCCCTCTGCAACCTGGTTCTCCAACAAATGTTTTGGACTACAATTCCCAAAATTCCTGGCCTTTGATTATACTGAGTTGAAGTCAAAAACACCTGGAGAGCACAAAGCTGGACCACTGCTTCAATAACTGAACACATTACAAAATAATTGTAACTTTCTTCAGCCTAAATATCTCCAAATGATTGATGTCCTTCTCAAAGGTTCTGGATTGAAAATCACCCTGAACTTTAATAAATGCCACTTAAAACATCTCTTAATAAATAACACTCAGCATGTATTAAGCACTGCAGTACATTAAAAGCACATTGAATGCATTCTCTTAGTATTCCTTATTACCATCCTGTAATATGTAACCCACATATTACAGATTGAAGCTGAGGCTGAAAGACGGTAAATTTCCCAATGTCACCTAGTCAGCTTGTTGATGAGGTAAGAGACAAAACAGATTCTTAGTTCTTACTCATAGCCAATTAAGTTACATTAGCAGCTAGGCTTAAAAGCTAGGAAACTCGGATGATGAAGAGGAGGCACAGTGCGCACCTGCTCTGGACTCATGTAGAGCTTGGTCCCAACTTGCCCGGTGTGCCTGTCATAACCAGGCATTGGTGTTAGAACAGATATGTCCTCTTCTTCTTGGTCCATTGCAGTCACTAGCCCAAAATCCCCAACTTTTACTAGGTCATCCATTGTGAAAAATATGTTGGAAGGCTAGAAAATGATGAACACAAAGAGGATTATGATCAAGAGATTAAAACAGGTAAGGTACTGTCTGACTCTCCTATGTCAAAATAGCAATATACCTGTATCATTACCTTTTCTAGATCTCAAGCTTCACAACTTCTATGGAAACATAGAAACAGAGTGAGTCAGAAGGGACCTCCCGGGCCATCTAGTCTGACCCCCAGCACCAGCCGGCTCCACTCACATCATGCCCACCATGTGCATGTCCAGCCTATCTTTGACCACCCTCACCAATGGGGTCCCTGCTTCCAGTCCTTCCCAAAGCATAAGACACAGATATAGACCTGAAAGCACTCAAACTTGCTCTTAAATCAGACTTCCCCGAAGAGGATTTTGATATGACTCCCCAATATCTTTTCAGTTTGATGACATGCCAGAACAGACTTCCTCAAGGCAGCTGACTGGAGAAGGCTGCACTAGAAGATGAGAATGCTACGCTGAACAGTGAAGGGAGCTGGGAGAATATAGGTTCAATAACCAGGGATTAAGTACAGTTTGCACCAAATTACAGAAGGATCACTATCCTAATTAGTTACAATACAAACCTTGAGATCCCGATGCATTAACCCTTTACTATGCAGGAACTGAACTGCTTCAGCTATCTGCAGGAATATCAGCAGGCACTCTCTCCTTTCCCTCAGTTCTACTGAACACCTTTTGTTCATCCAGTCTTTGAGATTTTCCTTCCTACAAAGTTGCATCTGGATGTAAAGGTACACTTTTGGAGTGGAGGACATGGTTTTTTGTTCAGTGTTCTTAGAAATGTCCATACTTAAGGTTGTTGGTCTTGGTGGAGAAGTGGAGAAAGGGCTTATTGAAGATGACATGCTATAATTGGATCCTTTTGAGCTTGTTGCTTTATCCTCACGATGACTATCATGAAGTGAATCATCGGTATTATCCTCTTTAGTAGAAGTCTTATCACAAACAGAGTCTTCAAAGACAATAGATGAAGAAGTCCTTTCCCTCACCCTTATTGCTGTCTTGGCTGGAAGACAAAAGGATTGTCCAGGATTGTTGTTATCAACAGTGCTACCAGCTATATCCCAGTCAGTGAGGAAACTGTCTCGCGTATGTGATGGAGGATCTGTCAAGTTGCTCATGTCTCCATGATCAACAGCAGAGAATTCCAAGGAGGGAAAATGACTCTCTGATGAATCTGCTTGGCCACAAGGTATCCCAACAGAAAGTAAAGTCTTCCTTTCTACAGATGTAGCAATAACTTTAATCTGTTCTTTTGCAGAGAATGGCTCAGTTCTAATTTTAAATGATGGCACTTCCACTGGGCTGGGAGAACTGAATGGCCAATCAATACTTTAAAAAAAGAAGCAGAACAGGACATTACGTAACTTCAAGTCATCTTAAAATGCACCATCTACATAACAGTATTTGTACAGGTTTGGAAATTCTTACTGAAAATACCCAAGTAGAAACAAGTTCAAGTAACGTAAGAGAAATTTGCATTACTTACTAATATCCATCAAATATTTTTTGAACCTACAAATCAATCTACAAGGAATATTGAGAATGGTTATGTGCTCCTAGCCTTGGTTTCTAAGAAGATTTTGCTCATACCTTGTTTTATTTCATGTCATAATCTGATTTCAGCATTACTGTTCTTTTCATTGTAAAATGTTAAAACACAGCACAGTGTGATGATTCTTCTGTTGATGTGTTTACACATGGCAGATGCATTTGAATAATATGGAAGGCACCAGCTGAGTACAGTAAAACCATGTATTGAATGTGTGTCCCAGCACAGAGTGCAAATATGGCTGCTACAGTGTCTGCAATAATGCAGAGAAATGTAACAGAGCTACTTAAAGCATGATGGGAGCAATACAGACAGAAGGAGCAACTAATAACTAATCTGGAATCTATTTTCCTGTTTTCTGCTGTTTCTCCAGAATTACACTACAAAAACTGGTTTTAACTTTATGAGTATAGCCGATAACTGAGTCTCCAGCACTAATGTGCCCACAGGCACCTCTCCTCGAGCTCACTAGGCTCCCTGTTCCTCCTCATTGCTATTTTATTCCTTACAGGCATTTGCAAAGTCAAGTTCTGCCCTCCAACACCACTGAGTAGCCTTTTATTTTAGAGTCCAGACTCCCATCTTGGCTTTATTTTTAGGTTCTTGAGCAAATTACTGTTCATTTGGTCTCACCAGTTTGCCTTCTGAAAAATAAGTGCTTTCTGACAGCTGTGCCCACCATGTGAACCATGTTATGAATGGGCACCCCACCCCACATGGCATCTTGAAGAGCACCCTTGTCATTCTCTCAAAGCTCAAGATGTCCCCACTGATTTGGAAAGGTTGGGGACCTCCGGAATAAAACATACACTGAAATCACAGGTAACCAAAAAGCAAAAGAATAAAATACAAATGTGCCCCAGTACAGATTTTAATTGTTGCCAGTCTCTTAATAAGAGGTCAGAAGCTAGCCACAGTATATTCAATTCCTCTTCCTTTCCCATGCATATTTCATAAACTGTATTAATCATTTTTAATATCTGTAAACTGCCCAGAGTGCTTCTGGGCTACAGAGGGGTATATAAATGTAATAAATATCTGACAGAATGCCTCTCGCAACTTATATTTACCCGGACACTACAATCAAGTACTGGGGCCTACCTCCAACCACTACCTCTGAAAGGAGGCTTGCATTGTGGCAACAAGAAGTGTCTTGTCAGTGGCGGCTCCCAGTTATAGAACAAGTTCCCCATGGATCCCTGCCTGATGCCAACTTTACCACCTTTTTGAGGCCAGGTAAAGACTGTCCTCTAGTGCAGAACAGTCAATTAGCCTACTGAGGCTTGCTAGTTCCAGGTGGGTGGCATCAGAGAGATCACTCAGGGTTGTTCATAATTAAACCACAGTGTTGGATTCACAAATAACAATAATCCCACAATTCAACAACATCCCATACTCAACCCATACTCTGCATTGTTAAAGTACAAACGAGGCCTTAGACTAAGAACTCAGAGGCCAGGAATTTGAGTATCAGAACTAAACAGAACCAAGAGCCTCCACATAAAAACTTGTTCTTCATTATCCCAAACTCTTCATTTCACAGTATAATTCAGGGTGGAAGGTTATTCTTTTGCTGCTATTGCTAAATAAACAAGAGTCAGAGATACTTGCTTCATCTATTGCAAATCACCCCGAGAACTACTATGAGATCTAACTTCTTCCCAAACCTATCCTATTGCATTATACATAAGACAAACAGGCCAATCTCTGTAGAAATAAATTTGACACAGAAATGGCAATATTCAAAAATAATTGTTTTGAATATTAAAATATACATGCTGCCCATGACTTTAAGGTGGCCATACCTGAACAAAGGAAAGGGACTGGCAATAAATGGCAACTGCTGAATGGCAATAAATCCAAGAGGTTCAGCTCTGCTTCCCATGGTCTAACTAAAGGGAATGATGATGAGTCTACTGCTGCTAGTACTACAGGTAAGAATACAAGCATGTCTGTATTATCATCTAACAACTGTTTCTGAATGACTATTGTTACAATGTAGAATTTAATACAATATCTCCAGTGCTTTTTAGTGAACAGTTTCCAGAAACTGAAAGAGATACCTTTCATCTTTTAGCCAGAGTTTGTCCATTCTTTCCTGCCAGCTCTCAGGTGGTGCTTCCAGCCAAGCATTGAAATAACGAACAATACAAGGATGTTCAAGTTTTGCTAATGCTTTAACTTCACGCATTACTTTTTCACGAGCCTGCTCCCTAGAATTTAAGAGAGTAACTAAGTAAAATCCATCAAAAGGCAATTCTGTGATTGATAAAGTTATTCAGCATGGTCATTTTACTTTGCAGAAGAGCAATTTCTCTTGGAAGTTTCATGCTATAGTGGATTGGGGGTTGGATACAAACTTCCTAAAATCAATATTTAAGTGCAATAATCTATTACCAAGATGGAGATGTTTCCTAGAAAAGGGGAAAGTACCCAAGAAAAGACATCATTATTAAAAGGTCCTCTACACTCTAAGAATGGTTTAGGTGAACATCAAATATGTAGGTGGATTGACTAAATCATAGTTTCTGTTCCCCAACACAATATGACTAAGGAATAAAGTCAGCATTCCTGTAGATATTATAGAAGACATTTTCTAGAAGCAATTTCTATTGCTGGCATATTGAAAAGCTGCATATTTTATGCAGAAGAGTTCAACAGTTTATCATCATCCCCTAAAGTTGAAAGAAGGTTCCATATGGTGGAACTTCTGGAAACAGAACAGTGGAACAGTGTGAGAGAAAAACTGGAAGGTGGAACAGCTAAAGTAGGATTGAAAAGAAGTGGGAGAATAACCAAACAGAATATGACAGAACTGATTCAAACACAGAAGGAAGCGCATGTTCAGCACAAATATCTACTGTAAGATACCACTGCAACAACAGGCCCTGGTAATAGTTCATCCAAAATTGCCAAAAAGGAGGCATCACAGGTTTGAAATTCTTGGAAACAAACACACCACTTGTACTGTTGCGCTCTCCCTCTCTTTCATATACATTAACCTAGAAGCTCAGGGGCCTTCTGGGGCAGCTTCCCACAAAGCGCTGGAAGGAAAATACAGTCACTCATTCCATTGTGTATGTACATGAATACTTGAAGCATGGGCATTTTTAGAACCTTGCAAAAGGAAGCAGTGACTTTGCAATCTTTGAAAAAAACAAAATAAGACTTTCCCATTTATGGAAGCATTCAGGAGTTTACAGATCTACTTAGCTGCTTACACTAAGATTGCTATTTCATAAAACAATAATCACTGAAAAGTGAACCACAGTGTCACCTAGAGGTCTAGGAGCACTAGAAAATTATTAACTTGCCTGTTTGGTAGACGAATTCTTTTAATAGCATAGTTACAATCATCTACTTTGTTTTTGGCTTCAAACACCACTCCAAATCCTCCACGACCTAGACACTGAATTGGTTCAAAATCTGTTAGGTATCTGCAAGAAAGAACACAATCACAATTGGATCAGCAGTTCAAAGAAACATTCCATTAGTATTATCACCATTATTAATAATAATTTACTGGATTTGTTTGGAAGCAATCCATAGCATCATGCTCTCTGGGTAGCCACTACAATAAAAGTACCGAGAAATAACATTGTGTAAAATGACACAATTAAAATATCACAATAAATAAAGCAGGATAAAATCACAATATATATCATTAAATTAAATTAAACATAAAATTAATATATTAAATCTGGTACATTTATTTATTTATTTGATTTGTTTGCAAGCCACCCATTAGCATTACACTATCTGGGTGGCCAATATAGATGGTCTAAGTAGTGCCATAGTTGTGCCAAAAAAGTAAGGTTTTTATTAGATGCCTAAAACTCAACAAGGTAGGTGCCTGGAGAATCTCTAGCAGTAGAGTGTTCCATAATTTTGTGCTGTGAGCCGCCTCGAGGCTTCGGCAAGGGGCGGCATAGAAATGTTTTAATAAATAAATAAAATAATTGGGGTGCCACCAGAAAAAAGACCCTCCTCCTTGCAGTCTCCCTCTTAACTTTCTTAGGGCGAGGGACTCGTAGAAGGGCCTTAGTTGATGATCTTAGGCAACAGGCAGGAATAATTGGAGTAAGGTGCTTCTTAAGATAATGTGGTCCCAAGCTGTTTAGGGCTTCATATGTCATACTCAAAACTTTGAATTTGGCCTGGACTGTAACAGATAGCCAATGCAATCAATGCTGGACTGGTGTGACAAGTTCATAAGCACTAGTCCATGTCAGCAATCATGCTGCCCTGGTCTGAATCATATGGAGAGTCTGGACTGTCTCCGGGGGAAGTCCTATGTATAATACATTACACTAGTCCAATCTGAAGGGTTCCAGTACATGAATGGTTGTGGGAAGTCTACCCTCATCCAACTAGGAACATAGTTGGCAAATCAGTCAAAGCTGTTAAGATTGGGTCTTTGTCTTTGACAAAGGGGTTTAACTCAGCCTGATGTTTAACAATTCACCTTCTAGCTACAGCTTCAGTGTAGGTAAATGGGTTGGCTTGCAGAGGAAGGCCAAATTATTGTTCTTCCTGCTTGGTTTTCATGCTAGCCACAGAAGAAAGTTCCTTCTTCTGTTATCATAAAAATGTAGCAAGACTGGGCTGGTAGAGGTGGTGTGTATCAGTCTGTCCCTTTGCTGTTAGTGCTTTATTTAAACTAGCCTACATTTTCAAGCTGGATGCAGAGGAAGGGGCTTCTCCACCACCACTGCTAGCACAGAAATGCAGGCTACCATGTTCTTCATATGCTAACAAAATATTTTGCTAGCTAATATCTTTTGTGGAGTTACCCATAAGGTTGATTTTGCTCAAGTTTCCTTTTAAGAAGGTGCCTTTTACTGAGTCAGGCCATTGGTTCATCTATCTCAGTATGCTCAACATTGACTGGTGGCAACTCTTACAGGAAAGAGCTTTTCCTGGTCCCACAGGTAAGTGACAAGGATTGAATTAGAAGCCTTCTGCATGCACTAGGAAATGGTCTTTCATCATTTCCATACCAAAGCAACACCTTCTTGCAATTAAGATGTATTCTCCCTAAGAAAACACTCCCCATGAAAGCCACATTGCAATCATGTTTATGATGCACTCTTAACAGACACGGCACTTTAAAAATAAGTTAATTTCCACTATTGTATTTAGCACCTGTTATTTAAGGTGCTAAATACAATAGGGGAATATGTTGATTTAAGGACCACAAATCCAGAAAGTACTTGAGATACACAAAATATGTTTTCTGCTATTCTCTCCCTGTCCTCTATAAAAGTCTGCTTTTGAAACTCCCATGAGTTCTGGGGATGGCTTTTTGGGTGATAGGCCCAAACTTTGGGAAAGAGTCATTATTTCTAATTTAAGTTCCTCAGTATAAAATCTGCAAACTATGTTTCATGAAAACTAAACCTGACTGAATATTTGCTTTCTGGTTCTTAATGACAAGTGCACTGTATACGTTTTCTCAAAATCCAATGGTTGATTTACCTTGATACATATCCAGAGTTCTTTAAATCACCTGAGCTGCTGTCTTTAATCTGTCCAGCAACAGGTTCATATTTACTGTCTGTCTGACACTGGGTTTCAGACTCCTTCCGCTGCTAATAGATAAGAATATTTCATTCACAACTAAGCAAAGCTTACCAGCTTACATTGACAAGTATGGAAAAACATTTTCAAAAAGCTACCGATAAATAAGGACTTGTCCAGATCAGTGTATGTGCCCATCTTATGCTGAGCAAGTTTTCACAACACAGCAACCCACCCTGTAAACAAGCTATGCAGTGTTTTATAGAACACACAATGTGCCTGATAGACCATCCGGCTTACTATGGCTATTTTTCTCCCACAGTCCTCCAGCCAGTATTCAGCCCATATTTTGGATAAGGATATAGATAGATTTCATGACAGTATATTTCTGTGTCCCAAAACAAACAAACCAAAAACCAAGCTCCAATAGGTTGAAAGAAAAGAATATTTTCTTCTGACAACTGTCAAAAGAATGAAAAGATTGCCCACTTCCAAAATAACTAAAGACTTAGAGAAGTGTGAAAAAGATGAAGGAGACTGGGAGCAATCAGAGTAATGCAAAAAATCTAGGGAATGAAACCTGAAAGGGGGAGGTACTTCTTTTTGGGTGAAAAAACCATTTGCTTTGCTTTCCAACTGAAGTAATCAATACTGCACAAAGCAATCTATAAGCAAACTTGCTAGGTCAATGTTTACTGCAGTTTGACAGCAGACACTTACCAGAATACTGGCCAAGCAAAGGTCTATATTTTCAGGCAAATGAAGCAGCACAGGTCTGAAGGACCTGACTACAAACAAATTTGCACCCATTTGGGTCATCCCATCCAAAAGGGAAAAAAGGGAAAATGAACCAGTGACAATTTCCTCAAAGTGCTGTTTGGGCAAGAGTAGAGTGGCTGTCATTGGTACAGGAGAAATCATGAACAGCAGCAAGAGGTCTTTGCTGCTCTTGTCAAACAATTTGCTCACCACTTCCCACAGCCCATGTTGGGATTGCTCTCCCTGGTTGAGATAACATGACAACCCATCATGAGTTCAAGCAACCCCTAAAACAAGGTATATTTTTTGTTCAAACTTTCTAATGCAATCAACTGATTCTATAAAATCAGATCTACATTTCATTAAGCTCAACATGCAACTTAGACAAAGTTCAGGACACTCTACTTACTCGACTGCGAGCATTAGGATGGAAAAGTCTGCGCACAATGTAAGTTGTGGTGACAATGCAAAATAAAATAGTGGAAACTATTTCTTTCCACCAGTGCAGAAGTAGAACTGGATCCTTTCTACGGATAGTCTTATAGTTCATGTTTTCAGAAAACCTGACAGTGATCTGAGTGCTTCGTCTGTTTCTCTCTCTTGTGTAATAGGGCAAAAAGTAGCCATTATCTATATTAAAAAACAGAATGAAAATTACTAAAGTGTTTTCTTAATATCTAGCACTTAGCAAGTAATTCTGCTTTCTGGATAAATTATTCCTAACTATTGGATAATCTTTTCTAAAGCCAGATTCAGCAAAATTCTCTCTGCTCTACTGACTATGAGTAAGATGCATTGCACTCATTTTAAATAAATTATACATGTGATACACTAATACTTCCAACTGGTATGCAATTTACTTTCTGGCAAATGTTAGTTAAATAAGTAACACAGACTGCTGTAATTGTTTTACTGCGCACAGTTAAGTTTCACAAGGATATTCTCCAGATTTATATGTAACAATCTATTGATAATGTTTTAGTATGTTACTACATTTCAGGTTTAAATACGTTAAGTAGTTGCTGAAACACTGTTCTTAGAGCTACATATTTTGTCCTATGAATTGTTTCTTTTAAATACTCTGTGATAATATAATAAATATGATGATGTAGAAGCAGTTTTTGAAAATCATCTTCTTTCAATAGCATTTCACCATGTGGCAAAGGTGTTGCTGTATCAGAACCACAAAGCCTCCATGAGTCATTTTCCAAAGGGAAATGAAGCTTGGTTCATATAAGGGTTTACAGTTAGAGTACTACAGACTCTAAGTCCATTTTTGTACTAAAAGAAAATCTGAATATTTTCCCTTTATGCTTGTAACCTATTCAAGCAATGTTCAAAAACAAAGCACAGCTCACACGCACCATAGGGATACTGCAGGACTGAAAGGGCACCATTACTATACTCTTCGTGAGAAAACTTGTCATTGCTGAGGCATTTATCGAACTCATCAGATCCCACCAGCACAGGAGTTCTAGAAGGAGAATCTAGAAAAATACCAAAATATTTCAGATAGCAGAGCCAGGGATGCTAGAACTATTCATTAGTATATTTCCCTTGTTGTATCAGTACTTTCCATTGCTGATTTGTAAAATATCTAACATTCTGTTGTTCTCATTATGACTCCTCTTTTGAAAAGAAATTGAAGTGGTGTCACTTTTGTGTGCCCTTTGTAAAATAAAGGGCCACAAAAGAAGAAATTACTGGGAGAGGTGAGTTTCTCAAGGTTTAATATGGCCATCTTTCTTATTACCAGAACTATGACACAGTACACAGCCATTCTAGGTAAATCCCTTACCCAACCTGGTGCCTTCCACATGTTTTACAAACTCCAGTTTCCAGCACTGCTGCCAACTGGCTCTTCTGGCTAGTTGATGATGACCAATTTCCATCATCCCACGTAGACAGCACCAGTCTGGGAAAGGTTATATTTTTCCTTCCTCTTCTTAAAACTGCCACTTTTTAAATCTGTTACTTGTTGATTTATGCTGGTCTGTATCACACATTTGATCTGAATACTAAAAATACTTTACATGAATGCACAGAAGTTTTATCAATAACAATGAATAACTTATTTCTCCTTGGTTTCTAAAAGCTGAGGTCATCATGTAAAGATATCTCTGCAAAAGCAACACTCACTAAATTTTAAAATGGTTCCACTAGTATCAATAGAAAATGTCAAAAATGTCAATGAGTAATGAAAAATTTTCATCCTTACAACATGTTTTTGTAAATTTAAATTATTTATTATTAAATTTTCCAGAAAATCTGCATTTATTTATTAATGAAAGTATGTACTACTACAACCCAAGAATTCCCTGTCACATTGTTCATGAGTGGTACATAAACATTTTTTCTTTTTGTGATAGAAGTCAGGACTGTTACTCTGATGGAATATTCAAGAGTCATTAGAAGTAGCAAAATGTAAATACAACTTTTTGTCAAGTCTGAGCTCCTTCAGGGCAACATCTGGTGGGCAGAACTAGAACAGCTAGCACAGTTCTTGCAGGATTGGTCCCAAACCTTACTGGATGAGCAACAGCTTGAACAGCTATATAAGAACAAGCTGTTCCTTTCACTAGCAGCTTCAGCACTGCAGGTTCTCCTGTTAACTGTGGTTCAGTTCCTGTACCTTTTTTGGATCCAGTTCTTGCCTTGCTGTACTCTGCCTTGCCTCAACAATGGAGGTCTTCCTGCTAGGTATGGTATGGTCCATCTCTTGTGCCTTGCTTGATCTACTTTCTATCTTGGTTTCTAACTTCATTTTGGTTGTGGTTCAGTTTCTATATCTTGCTTATTCTTGCTTCATCTGGTTCCTGCTTTGCTTGTTATGTCCTGCCTTGCTGTCTCACCTCAGCAGTGCAGGCCTTCCTGCTAGGTGCAGTGTGTTCCATCTCCTGTACTCTGTCTGAGCCTTGTTGGATCTGATTCCTGCTGTGTCTTGCTATAACATGCCTTGCTGTCTTGCCTCATCTTGAGTGGCCTTGCTGCAACATCTTCACTGCTCCTGGATCCCATCCTGCCTTAGGTACCTGGTCCCTGCTCTTGTTGTCTTCTTGGGTCTTGAAGTCTGGCTTGTATTTTAAGTCTGACACTTAAAATATTTAAAGTCTGACACTTAAAATACTTAACACTTAAAGTCTGGCAAGTCTTTCTTGCCCTAGGCTCCAAAACACTAGATAGTCCTTTACAATGAAGATCTTTATTGGCAATTCACAGTTAAGAGAAAATGAAATTCTAACCCACCTCCCCACCCAGCAAGCTAACCCTCTGCTCAAGTAAAGAGGGAATGATTGTTGTACCCATCAGGAAACCTCTCCTCCATCATTCTCTTTCATTCACACTGCAGGCTCCATCCTTAGGGTGGCTCTTGCTGGTAAAGAGCTAGTTGGCAAAACCTACACAAGCCCTCTAACTGGGAAGCTTTTCTCTCTTGACACTTCATCACAGGGTCAGGGACCAAGCAAGGCAAAAGCTTTCCCTCCTCTTCTGAGTCCCTCTTCTGAATCCCTCCTGTCTCTTCCAAAATGTTTGCTGTCAAGGTCATCCTGGGAAACTGTGAGCAATGACCTTAATGGAGCTGCAAAGGCTCCTGCCATCCTTTGATCCTCCTGCCCTCCCCTCATCTCTTTCTCGGTGTCCTCCCCTTCAGAATTTGGTAACTCAGGCTCTTGGAAAGTCAGCAAAAAGTGACTCTTTGATCCATACACTACAGCTTATATTTGTCTTGCCTTGATATGTACTTCTAGTTCCTGTCTTTCTACAACTCTGCCTCTGACTTCACTATTGGACTCTGGACTGTGTTTGGACTCTGCCTTGCCTCAAGTTCTGTTGCCCTGGTCCCAATACATCTCTCTTGACCCCTGCTATTGAAAGATATCAACTTGAAAAAAATAATCTGAAGAAGTACAATCACTTACGAATCAAGGGTTTCCACTTGATCATGGGCAAAGGAATAACTGCATTATCACTTCTGGACTCCAAAGCCTTAGGTTTGGTGGGGAATTTATCAGAAATTCTGACTGACGTCTGAAGGTATAGCTGGCCTCTGAACATTCCTGCATAATAAATAAAAGATTATGCTTATTTTAAGTCCTCTAAGCTTCAGAATGTTATTTCAAAGATTTCTGGTTTTTCCAAAAGATAAAACTGGCACTTTAAAAGATGTTGTAAACTTTACTGCAAAAATGAACTATTTATAACTTAATTTTTTATTATTTCAGGAGTTGAGTTGAAGACACTACATACGTATAAGCAGAGGCTGCTAGAGCAACACAACCTATACACCTTAAGAGTGAGCATTAGTATAGCTATCTGGCTAGAAATCTAAAACCCTAACCCTAACCTCAAACTGGTGCCTGCCAGTGTTTTGGATTTCAACTTCCATCAGCCCCAGCCAACATGATCAATGATCAGGAATATTGGGAGTTGCAGTCCAAACCATTTGAACAGCACATAGTTTGGTGAAGGCTGTCCCAATTGGACAGCGTGACATAGCATCATCACCTTCTTCTCTAGAGCTACTAGACAGAATCCCTGAAGAAATGCATCTCTCCAATTCTCAGGCAGTGGCAAATGGATCAAGGAAAACAAACACTATGGGTATAACCATGAGGGCTTCTAGTCTTATAAGGAAGTAGCAAGGTCCAAAGAAGTCTGGAGAGTGGAGAAGCCAGGTGACACAATCCATGTTAGAGACTACTATTTCAAATAGATGGATTAGTGACTGAAGACACACAAATCTGTTTTTGAACCTCCAGACAAACTTCCCCTTATTTTTATTTAGGATAAGAAGTTTCCCATTTCAAGCTTTCTGGGATATAATTAAAGGTTTCCATTCTAAAAGATGTTGTTACAGTGGAAATATTCATCCCTGTCAGATCTGAAAACTGCCCTTGAATAGCACTGAAAATACTGTTGCAGAATGCTCTTCAGGGTGGGGCTAGTTCTAAGGCCTGGATCTCCAAAAGATGTTGAATGTCCTTGGAGATACTGCAAATTGCTGAAATGTAGGAAAGAATTAAGTGAACTTGAAAAAAAGACTTCTGGAATGATTTGCAAAACCCACTTTTATGCAGTAGTTATCCTCAAAGTGCCTGTAAGACTTGAAGCCTGTCTCCAATACATAGTGGAGGCTGAGAACCTCTAAAACATTTAGTAGGTTCTTTAGCAGATACATTACTTCTTGCAGGTATTTCATCCTTTTACACGGCACAGTCTTCCTGGGGATTATTAAGAAGTGGGAATGGTAGGATTATCTGGAAGAGACCAGTCCCACCAGTGATGCCCAACCCAAATATGACTGTTTTCCTACTGCTAAGGGGAAAATAGTTGTGGATCTCCTTGCTCTAAAGACAAAAAGTTGAAAATGAGCATGATTCCAGAGCCCATTTGAAGAAACTATCAATCTAGAAAGTTATCCTCCTCAAAGATCAGTTTTAGTGTTCATTCACACTGCAGACAAGTTAATCATTAGTGAAGAGTGCTGTGATCAGATTCTGAACGTGCAGTGAAACATTCCACGTTTTGTCACATTCAGATTGTTCCATGTTCCACCCACATCCAGAGTAAATCACAATACATCATAATCCACCAGAGTAGGGAGAAATCCTTTTAAAACCCTCCCCTTGTCTTTGCAGGGGAAATGCTGGGATATAAGTCAGAGGAGGGCAGAGAAATCATAGCTTTTCAAGCCTATCAAACACTATATGTCATACAAATTAAACCTTAGGGCCTCCTGCCAGGATAGTGTCTGTAGCTGGGCTTCCCCTTATTTGTTTCAAGCAGCAGTCCCATCTCTTTGCAAAATAGCTCTTTATTTCCAACTCAGAGCAAACAAACAATAACCACAAGACGAAAAGTCTCTGTGAACAAAGTGATTAGTTGAACCCAAACTAGAAACTACTTCCAAAAACCTTCCTTTTTATTATTCCTGAGTTTCACCCCACCCCCCACAGAAGGGGTTGATCTACCCTCTAATTGGGCAGCCCTTCTAACCAGACAAGGGGTCAAGGACCAGACAGGACATTGGCTCATCTTCCTCCTCTCTCGTCTCCCCACTCACTTCCAAATCCTGTCTGTTCCCATGGTCTCCCTGGGCACCTGGAGAAAGCAGCCTTGAATCTCACCCTCCTCTGTTACCTTGACTCCCACACTCCTTTCCCAGCTTTCACAGTCCTCATTCAAAGAGTTGGTGCAACCCTGACCCTGGAAAGCATGCCAAGAATAACTGCCTCATCCAATCCCATCACCTATTTAGAATGATAATCAACTAAATAATTAAAACTGTTTTAATCAGAGATCAGGACTCCTTCAGTGATGACCCACCGACCTCAACAGAATTTAGTTTTGAATAAGCATGCATACAATTAAGATGAAAATGCATTGTTCATATCAACACACAAATATTTTGCCATGGGTGATGCACTGAAGCAGCAAATACTGAACTTCCAAAGCAAAACATGCACATCCATACTTTGTACCCTGGAGACAGGGCAGAAAACTTGAACTTCATCATAAATAAATAAATAAAGTGCAATCATCCTAAAAACACAAAATCTAAAATCTGTGAACAGAGGTTTGGAAAAGACAAAGACCATGCTATATATTGAGGAACGCACTGTACCTATATAGGCACTGGACTCTGTAGCTCCTCGGGCAGCTTCAACAAGATCTTCTTCATCTTCTAAGATATCATCATTTGAGCTGTAGCTTGTATCATCAAAGAGACTAATTGGAATTACTTTTCCATCTTTAACCAGCCAGGCAGAAGCAACTGGAGTGCAAAACTGCAGGTAAAAATAGGGTGTTTTAAAAACATTTCAGTGCATTTTTTCTGTGTAACACTGTAGATGCATCCGTGTACAGCAGGAATCAGGATGTTTTCATTATTTCAAAGAACAACTCAGAAGAGGACCATTATTAAAAAACAAACAAACAAACAACCATCAAATTCCAAAAAGATCTCTAATGCCAAGAGGAAAGATTTTATTTGGCAAATGTTGCAATATTTCCAAAAAGTGTTAACAAGTTTCCATCTTCGATACCTGGTATTCCCATTCCAGATGTCCTCCCTTCTTATTGAATGCCATAACCTTCCAGTCTGCTACTGAGACCTTTATCACTGTATCCTTCATTACAGCCTCCTGCTCCTCCACTTCTGAAATAACTTTAGCATCTTCTTTGTTTATATTTGATTCTATATTGCCTTCAAGAAATCCTACTTTTGTTTCGGTGTCTTGAACATAACGCAGTTCAAAGTGACCAACACTAAAATTCCACCTTCAAAAGTAAAAATACCAAAATAAAGAAATAATTCAAGATTATTGATTCAAATTAAACTCATTTTTAAAACAAAACAGAAATTATCATGACATTTCTGAAATAATGCAAGTTTGATATTCTTGATTGAATTAAAAGAAAATAAAGGCATTGGCATTTATTAGGACTGAATGATCTTAATGTTTACACATAACATTTCCACAAGCTAGATGATTTATAAAGGAAAATGCATTCTATGCTAAGCTTAACCTGACATCTACAGACTTTTTCCAAGATGGAGAAGTTGATCAGTGAATAGAGTTACTGAACTATTTACAATTTCCAAAAGCAGAGGATATAAATATTTAATAGGGGTTCTATTAGCATTCTATATCACATCTTATACTACAAAGCTAGCTCAGTAGTCCTGGGAGTGAATTCTGGCACCAACAAGACAAATAACCCAGCATTCTGAAATACCCCTGTGACTCCAGTGAATAACAAAACCAATACTGCTTTTTAAAATAGCAATCACTTTTCCTTAATTTTCTATTTTTTCTTTTCTAACCCTTTCTAATTTTTCTGCATCTTTCTTCAACTGTGGAGCCCAGAACTGGATACAGTATTCCAGATGAGGTATGACTAGTGAGAAATATAGAGGATCTACTATTTCTCGTAATTTAGAAGTACAGTGGTACCTTGGCTCACGAACGCCTCAGTTCACGACCAAATTAGGTTGCTAACAGAAATGTCGTAAAAATGTTGCTTCAGGTTGCGAACTCTGCATCAGGGGATGATCGGGAGCACGCCCGCCTTCCCTGCATGGGCGTTATCGCAGTCATGCTGGGGGCGGGAGATGGCTGCGTTTGTGCTGGGGGGAGATGGCCGCAATCTTTGTTGTCACTTTGCTTCAAATTTTTGTGAGTAAAAAAAAAATAGTTGCAGAATGGATTACCCTCATTTACATTGATCCTTATGGGGAAATTTGACTTGGATCACGACCAATTTGGGTCACGACCAGAGTCCTGGAACAGATTAAGTTCATGAGCCAAGGTACCACTGTAATACTTCTGTTAATGCATCCCAAAATAGCACTTGCCCTTTTGGTGGCTGCATCGCATTGTTGGCTCGTATTTAGCCTACTGTCTACTAAGATCTTTTTCTGTTTCAGTTCTGTCGAGCCACTTATTCCCTTTCCTGTATTCATGCCTTTGGTTTCTTTTTCCTAGGTGGAGGACTTGGCACTTATCCTTATTGAATCTCATTCTGTTGATCTGAGCCCAGTGTTCAAGTTTATCAAGATCGCCCTGGATTCTATCTTCTAGGTCTTCATTATTCCACACAGTTTTGTATCATCTGCAAATCTGGTTATCATTCCTTGAACTTCCTCATCTAAAGCATTAATACAAATGTTGAAGAGCACTGGGCCCAGGACTGAACTCTGCAGCACCCCACTAGTGACCTTCCTCCAGTTTGAGAGGGTGCCATTGATGAGTGATGTTTGTATCCAATTCAGCAGCCAATTTTGGACCCACCTAATAGTTTTTCTATTTAGTCCAGTTTTTGCTAATTTGGATAGCAGAATGTTGTGTGGCACTATGTCAAATGCTTTGCTAAAGTCTAGATAGATTATGTCCACTGTGTTCCTCTGTCGATTTGTGTGGCTACCTAGTCAAAAAATGAGATTAAATTAACCTGGGCAGGAGAAGTGGGGAGTGTGCCACTCATCCAGCTGTGCCCGCCTGGGTATTTGGTGCAGCACCAACCTCGCCTTGAGGGAAGGGGAGGGGGTGTGACCCCAATTTACCAAGATTCCTTCGCAGGGCTTCCTGTTCCTTTGAGGCCAGGTCCGAAGTGTCTGTACTTGGCGCAGGGTGATCAAGACAGATTAGGGATTCTGTTAGTGTACCATGCACCCTTCTGCCCAACAGACTCCCTGCCTGAGCTGACACAGATAGTCTTGGACCTGGTGTTGAGGACCTCCAGGATGCTGTTCCTGGGGGTCTGCAACTTCCATGCTGAGACTGTTCTGACCGGAGCGGCTCGGGACTTCATGGCTGCCATGACAACACATTACTGGCCCAACACATGAAAGAGGCCACACTCTTTTGAATTTTGTAAACCACCCAGAAAGCCCAATGGGCTATGGGGTGGTATGTAAGTGTAATAAATAAATAAGCTAAACAGAATGTTATAACTGGTAAGACTTCAAACTGGCTTAAGCAGAAAAATCATGCGACAATAAGAAATCTTAAAGAAAGGGTTTTTTTCATTAAAAATTCTTATGATAATTATGACAATGTCTTCTACTCAGGTCAGTATGAAAGTTTGATTTTGTGGGGCTTAGATGGGCTGCACCGTGATGCATGTAAACCTCCAAACTCAGAGCATCTTATGCAAGGCATGAGAAATGGCAGAGGCAATCTTCACTTCCTCATTCTCTATCCCGAGGTTAGAGCACATTCTGTGGTCCTCTGATGCTACGTGATTGCTCCCTCCATGAATATAACCTGCAAGAATTTAGGAATGTTTGTGATTTACCGTATTTTTCAGTCTATAAGATGCACTTTTTCCCCCCTCAAAAGTAAGGGGAAATGTCTGTGCATCTCATAGAGCGAATGTGTGTGTGTCCGACACCCGGGACGCTGCCGGCCCGCCTGCACCACGTGGCACCACCTGGCCGGCACGCGCTTGGCATGCCCTGCTCTGCCCCCCTCCTCCGGCGCAGGTCAGAGCTGTTAATCACAGGTCGGTGTGTGTTTTCAAATGGCAACCCATCTTTTAATGAAGCCCATGGGAAAGTGATGGGGAATGTGCCTGTGATTATCAGAAATCTTTCCATGGATCAGTTATCTTTTAGTTGATCAGACACATTTTTTTTAGGATCAGTGGATATTTGAACAGCATTACCTTCATGTATGAAGTTTATTCTTCAAAGGCTACTTAGTCCACTGTGTTTGATTTACCGTACAATATCTCATTTTTTGTCAGAAGTTTTTTTCTATTATTTACTAGTAGGGCAGCGTGGACATTACTGGCTTTTTTAGACTCGTTATTGAATTGTCTGCAGCAGCTCTTGTATAACTGGTGTAGATTGTGGATTCCTTCAATAATTCCACTACTAAGAAAGTGTGTCAGTGATTGTGAGCAACAGAGCTTCATAAATTCTGACTCTAGTGATGATGAGTTCTATGGGTTCAACAAAAACTAGACGAGTACTCGAACTTTAAAGTCTCTCTTTTGTTAATGACAGTGATGATGGTTCTTAATGCCACTGTTGACTGCTGTTCACTTTACAAGGTTGAAATATGGTATTACTGTATTCTGTTATAGTTTATTAAATAGTTTAGTAAACCATTTGATTCAGAATATTTTTTTCTTGTTTTCCTCCTCTAAAAACTAGGTGCGTCTTATGGTCAGGTGCATGTTATAGAGCGAAAAATACGGTACCTCACTACAATAAAAGTATGTTAGCTTTTAAATATACTCTTTAGTACAAACTTGATGTACTTTCATTATATTATTTGATACCCAGAACAATCAACTTTGGTGTCCAACCATATAACCAACTGTGGTGACCAGCCATAGCTTCTGTCTTAGGTATGAAAAATTAATTAGTAGGATGGGGCAGGTGTGACAAGCCCATCTTGAGAAGAGACACCAAATTCAGGCATACTCAGAAAAGCACACGGACACTAAATCTATCAAGTTTCTGACTTAATTAATGAAAATGAAGCATGAAATAGTCTGTAAAAACTATCCGCTGAGCCTAAGAAGCCAGATAACATATTTGTGTACGTACTTTTCATTGCCGCTGCGGGGCCCAACAGCACGAACTGTTTTCTGTGTTCGATGCAGAAGAAGAATATCCTCCTGTTCTGTTTCATCATCATCCCAGCGACGACAGCCCATTGCTGAACATACATACTTCACCTGGAGCAGGAAAGGTTTACAGCTCACTTTTTTTTCAGTATAGAGTTCTTTTATCTATTATTTGATTTATATCCCACCTTTTCCTTTTTTAAAAAAAGAACTCAAAGCAGCTTACATCATTCTCCTCTTCCAGTTCTTAATCTTATCCCCACAACAACAAACCTGTGAGGTAGGTTAGGTTGAGAGTCTGTGACTGGCCCAAAATTACCCAGTTGACTCCATGGCTGAGCGGGCACTAGAACCCAGATTGCCTGAGTCCCAGTCCTGCACTCTTAACTACTATACCACACTGGCTCTTTATTATGGAGAAGGGTGACTCCATTTCTATAGATGAATCCAGAAGTCAATGGTGCTAAAGAAAAATCACAAAAGGTCCACTAAAAGATTTAGCTTTAAGGTAACCAATCTATTTCATTTATTGCATTTTTAGTGCTAGTCACTATCAGAGTTCCCTGTAATAAAGTAAAGGAGACTGGATTTTTTGGATCTTGGCAATGCAGCAGAGGCTAGGAGAGAGTGCATAGAGTGGCCAGGAAACCGGTGAAGGCAAGAGAGGAGCTGGGTAAAGGATCAAGGGAGCAAGAGCAGTGGAAAGGAAAGGAGGCGGGGCCAAGAGAGGCCCAGAAGGAAGCAAAGGGGCAGTGGCAGTGGCCTCTGAGGCTTATTAGGCTGCACTCAGCTGGGAGTCATCCCTTGTCTGTGGCCCTTATCTGCAGCCTGAGCTGCCCGGGTACTCTCTTCCCTAAGGTCATTGTTGTTGTTTTTTTAAATAATTGCTTGTAATTATTACTCTGTCTGGGAGAACTAGGCAAGTAAAGTCAGGGAAGGGTAGTGTAGGACAGACAAGTTGAGGGACACACAAGGCAGAGGAAGAAGGCAGGGTCTGTGAGGGGTGCCCTGTGTCAGGCCAGGAGATGACCAGGGTGGGAATCACAGGTGTTGCTGTCCACCACAACACCTGTGACATGTTTGCCCTTCTCCCTCAAGAGAGGCAGAGGCAGGGATACACTTGTCCCAAGTACAAGCTGGTGTAGAGAAGAGGTGAGGAGTCTGCCACTTGCCACTTACATAGTTGAGGGTGCTGGGTGAATCCCATAAGCTTAATGTTGGTTCTTGCCTTGTAAAGGGAGTCCATGCTCTTGTCCATTCTGGCACTGACGAGTCCCTCCCTGACAAATAGTATATCCTCAATGTGGATGCAGGTCTCCTGAGGGAGACCTGTGGAGTGGACCAAGGCGTGGTGGATGGTGACAACACCTAGTAGCTCCTACCCTACCCACTGCAGTCTATATGGTCCCATGCTGCCTCTAGTTGGTATCTGGAGAGCTTCTCTGCCTCTGCTTGGAGCGGCCAAGCTACATCATGTTGCTCAGCCAGGAGGTGCTGCACCAGGGACCCCCATCTTGTCCCAGAGGAACATCTGGTATCTGTCCGTGGTCACCTTATAGGCAGACACGTGAAGGCCCAGTGAGGCTGCAGCATAGGCCCTTTGCGCCAGGCCACCCAGGCATCGCTCCCCCCGTCTGCTGGTGCAGAGTGCTCCTGAAGGAAGGTCCCCTCCAACAACAAAACTACAATAGAGTTGGGCTTGGGGTGCTGAGTCAGGAAAAGGAGCAAGTGGTGCAAGGCTCACTTTGTAGATTCAATGCAGCGTGAGGTGGTAAGCCCCAGCACAGGGGATTTTTTATTTTTTAAATTTTTATTCTTTAAGATACAAATACAGAGGGTGCCAAATAAATAAATAAATAAATAAATAAATAAATAAAACTATACACATTTTAAGAAAGGAAAAAACTGTGTCAGTATATACTGATAACAAGACAAATATAAGTCATGTTTGACTTCTGCAATTACAAGAGGTGTTCAAAGTGATTACCATCAGTATCTAGACACTTCTGATTTTGAACTACTGTGTATACATTTTTTGGCACTCCCAGTACAAATACAAAAATCATATAATAAAGAAAAAAACACTCAATACACGCACACAAAAAAAGCTTTTTTCTTTTTCTTTTTCCCTGAAACCACCCTGAGTGCACCCCTCCACTGGAACCATGGCTGCCTAGTTTTTTCCATTATTCCACTCTTTCCAAGACATCACCTTCCAACCAAAATTGCAATACATCCTTTGAGGACTTATTACCTTTCCTTTTTATTAATACTTATCCAATAAACATACCCCCTAAATACATTCTTCTTTACCAATTATTTTTTCACCCTTATCAACTTTTCCTCATCAATTTGTCATTAACCACTTATATTCCAAAGTTCTTTATACCATTCAATTAACTGGACATCCCCTTTCTCTTTCTAATTCTTTGCTACTAACAATTTTACTCTGCTTACAAAATTTATTATTAATTCTTTGATATTCTACAAAATATTGCTACAAAAAATAGCAACAGTGCTATTTCTGGATCTGCTTCAATTTTAAAATTCATTATCTTATTCATCTCCTTAAAATCATTATCCAGAATTTTATACTATTTTCACATTCCCACCACATATGGAAATAGGTACTCATATTTTGTCCTCATTTCCAACATAAATTACCATATTTATTAGCCATTTTATATGGGGTCTGGGGTCATATACCATTTCCATACTAATTTATAAAAATTTCCTTAATTCTAATTGACACACTTTTTAAGTTTCTCTTATCTCATATTTTCCCCAATCATCCCTGCCTATATCCTTCCCTAAGTCCATTTCCCATGAAATTTTTAAATGATCATAAATATCTTCCCTATCGAATAAAATCTTATATCTCTCCTTTAAGATCCCCCTTGTTTGCATTCCACCTTATGACTCCGTATTCATCACAATCTCCTCAAATTTGGTAAGATCCCTACACTTACCATTTTTCTGCAACCATTCTCCAGTCCATTGTTCCAATTCCATAACATTAAACCAAGTTAATTTTCCTTTTCCAAATAGTGTCATTATCCTTTCCTTACTATCCATTTTCTCCATCCAATCTTTTGCACCCTAAATATTTGTTTTTCCTTTAATACCTTTCTTAAACTTTCCCTCAAATTTTCTGGAAAACTTTAATCTCTGTAACTGGAGTTATTGGTGAGGTGATTGGCATAAATTATTCCCTATACTTCGGCCAAATTCATATCAAAATTTATCATCTTGTTTTTAAAAGATCCCTCAATTTCCTGTTCCTCCATCTCTTCTCATATTATCTCATCTGGCTACAAAATAATACAACTTCATTTATTTGCTTCATAATATAATTTAATATCCAGAATACCTAATCCTCCTCCTCTTTGTAAATTATACCATCTTTTCTTACTAATCCTTGCTTTCTTATCTCCATTACAGAATTTATTAATCATATTTTGCCATTCAGCCAACTCTTTCCCTAATAGTCTAAGTGGCAACATCCCAAGTAAAAAATTAATCTTTTAAGGTAATTTTTTATCTTACAAACTGCTATTCTCCCAAACCATGATAACCCTATTTTCTTACATTGCTGCAGTTTCTTCTTTAATTTAATTTTAATGTATCAAAATTACTCTTTTTCTAACATAGGTACTGATATTTCAAAAATACACAAAGTATTTAATAGTCTTACATATGCTAATCTGAAATTTATTCTTGATTCCCTCCTTTTCTTTTCTATTACAATTAAACAGCTTTATCTCAGATTTAGCCCAATTAACCTGTAACCCTGTTATTGCACTTAATTCCACCAAATAACTTTGAATGGGTCCAATTGTTAACAAGCTATCATCAGCAAATAGGTTAATCTTAATTTTGTTTTTAATTCCAATACCTTCTTTTGTATCATCATTTCTTATACTACTTGCCAATAATTTGCCTGGCGCTGATACTTTATTCTTTCCTGCACCAGGCCCAAACCTTTCTATTTCCCCAACATTTTCACGTTTAAATTGTCATTTTAATTGGTATTTTATAGAAGATGATGCTGTGTTTTACTTTCTTTTATTGTAAGACCGTCCTGAGACTCTTGGTAAGAGAACAGTATAGAAAAGCTTTAAATGAATACAAAAAATAAATAATTCTATAAGTAAAGCAAACAATACTGGTGAAAGAGGACATCTTTGTCTAGTGCCTTGGCTTAAGGATATTCTTTCTGTTAAACCATCATTACCTATCACTGTTCTAAAATTTTCTGCGTATAATTGATCTACGGTGTTTTTGAATCAGACCAAATCCTAATGTCTCTGTCAACATCTTTATCACTGGCCATTCCACACAGTCAAAAGCTATAAAAATATCTAATGATATTAAACCCGCTTTTAACCTTTTCTTTGATATAAATTCTATCACATTTAATAGTCTTTTAGTCAAATCAGACATCCTTCTCCCTACTATAAAACAAGCCTGATCCACCTTCATATATTTAGCAATAAAATTATTCATTCCTTTTGCAAGTATTGATGTAAAAATTAGCATCTTGATTTATCAAAGATATAAATCTATATGCTCCAGGCTCTGTCAAATCCTTATTAGGTGTAACAAAGCAGGAAGAGGAGTACACAAAAAAAAAATTCAGGATGGATGAATAAATATCACAGGACAAAATGACACATTAATTCAAGACAATTATCAAATAATTTGGATGAAGATCCAAAAAGACTTACAAAAATGGACTAAATTACATGCATCTTGGTTGGGAAGAATTTCAATTATAAAAATGAATGTATTACCTAAACTTCTCTTGCAGATGATACCAACTGCAGTATCGGGAGAAGCTGCGCACTCTTGGCATTGGGTGCATGCATGTGGCAGTGAGGTTATTGGGCTGGGCTAGAGAGCAACAGCAACAGTATCCAGAGTCTGCCCACAAACGGGGCAAGGCAGGGCCAGTAAGGTCATGGTGGAGGCCAGTGTGAGGGTGGTGGGCGTGAGCCCATGATCAGGTGGTGTCAGGGCTCAAAGAGATCTCCTCTCCGGAGGAGTCCAAAGACTCACAGGAGGCATGGCATGGAGCAGTGTGGTTGGGACAGCACAGGCAGCTCAGGAGATCATACAGCAGCTCTGAGGAGTCCCCAGGGTAGGTCAAGGAGGAGGATCAGGGAGCATCGCGATCCCGGTGGAACATGAGAGAATGCGGTGAGCCCCAGTGAACCCTGGGGGTAAGTTCGCCAGCTGCAGCCAGCATGAGTAAGCTGGGCAGTGAGCTGCGCGGAGAGGCAAAGGAGCGGTGGCCAGGAATTGCGGGGACAATGGCAGGGAGTCATGCGCAGGAGAGGTGCCTTGAACCTGTTGTGGAGAGTGCAGTCCCAGCAAGTTGGTCCTCGGAGCTGCAAGGGCACTGGATTGTGGAGTCTCAGGATTGACAACTGTGGGTTATCTGTGCAGGGTGAGACAATGGCAGGAGACCTGAGGGCCACACAGCACTTCTTTGGGAGGCACCTTGGTCCCTTCTGGTTTTCCAGAGGCCTTTGGCTTCCTGGAGTGTTTACCAGGCTGCATGGCCTTCTGCACTGGCAAGGCGGCAGGGTCCTCTGCATCCACATTCAAAGAATCAGCCACTTGGAGTGCCCTCTGCTACAGGGCAAATTTTAGGTGCCCTGCTGGCATATTTGTTTCTTAAATGCCTGGCAATGCAGGCACCACAATGTGCCCATTGCCGAGGTAGAAGAGGCACTAGGAATTGCCATCTGCAACTAGAAGACAGGGTTGGCTATGTGGGAAGAGGCTTGAGAGCACATGGAAAATAAGAAAGGGTGAAGGTGGAAGCAGCCAGGGTAAAATTTTCCCTTGGTAATGTGTAGCAATCTGGGAGTGGAGAGAAGGTAGGAAAATACAGGCTTTAGTAACAAAACTTTTTATTATTTGTTTAATTAGCAAGAAAGGGAAAATTGAAGGAAGATCAAGGGGGAGGATGGTGAGTTAAAAAAAAAAAAAGATGCAGAAGCTGATCCAATCAACTAGTGCAGTTGGAAAGAAACTGAGGAAGTGGGCAGGACTGTCCTCTTATCAAAGGGCCTGGAAGGGGCGGAGGAGTTCCTGCCCACTTCATGATGCTTTACTATGAAAGTTTCTCTCCGATCCAGGGCTTGTGCTACATGGCAAAGCCCACATGTGTGATACACAGAGACCAGGACAAAGAACCTCATCATCCTACTTTTTAATCATAAACACAGCAGAGAAGGGCAAAGAATTTGTTGGGCATGTAACTAAGGAAATATTAATATTTTTCCACATGCACAGCTTCCTTGTAAATCTCCTGTGGCAATTAATAGGAAGCTTTTTAATCTAATTGCCATAATAATTGGCAATTAGATTATTGCCAATGGATTATTACTAAATCATTGAGTGAATAAGTCTGAAAAAAGACTTCCACAGCTGCCAGTGGAAAGGTTTTATCAAGTCTAACTGCCTCATGCCCAGGGGTGGGGATTGGAGAGTATATGTTAGGCATACATTGCTTTGGATGTACTCACTTTTGCTTTTGTCCTCACACATGGCCCCTCAAAGATTACCCACAAGGGAATGTGGCCTTTGTAATGAAAAAGATTATCTGCCCTTGTCATACCAAATACCTGTGAGAGCAGTGCTTTTAGTGATGCGATTTGCCTAGTTTATGCAACAGAGGCTATTTGGGAAGATACTTGTGATAAACAGTCTTCATCAACTAGATGCAGCTAAGCACATTTAATTATAACTAGTCTCTGTGATCTCCGTGAGCTTACCTACTCCATCAGGGCTGTATGAGTGTTTCCCTCTGGGGATTTTTGTATTTCTATATATATACAGCTTATTTTAACAAGATACAATTGAATTTCTGCCCTGTCTGATGCTAAGTACCTTCTGTTCTTTAGAGCTCTCTCAAATTCAAAACCAACTTTAATTTTCTGAAAAAACAAGCAAAAAGTCTCATATCATATATCATATGTTACAAGTTTCATACCTTTCCTGAACATGTGCTCAACCCATATGTGGTCAAAGATTTTCCTCCAACAAGAACAACATCATCACCAAATCTGTACGATGATTCAAGAAGAGATTCAATAGTGAAAGGAACAGCTTCCATGCTTTCTCTGTCACGATCCCACTGGAAAAGGTCTCCATTCAAGGAGGGAATTATCATTTTATTCCCAAACACCTACAAAGCATTAAGTAGAAATACTGTAATATTTTGAGAGAGAAGGATATATAATGCCAAAATTTAGAAATAATTTAAATCAAACATGGAGCAAAATGCGTTGAAACCAAAAGTATTCCTCTGCCAAGTGAACAGACAACCCATCCAGCTATTCCTACGACATTTTCAGGGCTCCCTATTTTTTTAAAAAGAAAAGTGCAAAAGGTAGAGATCTGAAAATTTGGGATGCTTTAGACTGGACAGTTTCTGGCAATGTCTTAAAAGAATTAGCTATGTATGTGTAAATTACAGTAGAGGAGATGCAACTGGGGTTCTAATGTCACCCACAATGTGGGATGAGGGCTAGTACTTTTCTCAAGAATGGAGGAAAACAGACAAGACTCCATTGTTCCTCACTTCAGCTCTAAGAGTTTTATATGAAACTTTACTCCATTTCTGACAGCAAGAATTCTCATGACATAAAAACCAGGCCTCACTCTTGGCTCATGTCTCCTTCCAAATTGTTTGTGTCTCCTCATCTTTTTGCCAATCTTCCCATTCAAGCACCGATAATGTTCAAGAGATCTCTCAAACATCAGTTACCATGAAGCAGGGGGAGGTCATTCATTCTAGGTCATTTAACAAACAACTTTCCTAAGGAATATTATATTTTATTCCTAATAAGGAATTATTATATTTTATGAATACATATAGTCAGCCATAATGTTTAATATTTTTCTTGATATTTGAAGCAATATCAAGAAATCTGGTTAGTTAAAAAAAAGGGATATAAACACTTGAAGCAAGCCAGCGGGTTCCAGGGAATGGGAACAGTTGTTTCCTGTTACATCCTCAGTCAAGACTGTGTTGCCAGCATGAAGCATGATCACACATTGGGAACTACATGAGCTGAGCTGGCTGGAGCTGGGCTCAGACTAGATGGCCCAGGAGACCCCCTTCCGATTTGTTTTTTTTTTTCCTGTGTTTCTATGTTTCTTTAAAAATTGGGTACTTGAAGCACAGCCAGCAGTTGTGCCACAGGTCAGGTAATAGCAAAGGTACACAGAGGTAATTCTTGGTGCTGATATTCTTCAGGGCAACCAATCCTAAGTTTCTGAGAAGTTTTCCTTTTTGGGCTCTTTTACATGCATTGAACAAATACAAAGGCATCATTTTTCAAGCATCTCTTACCTGCACAAGACAAAGAGAGTTCACAATACAAAATACAGTAATTTCATTAGTTGTTATAAGCAAATATCTAATCGCATGTACCTTCAGTTAATAACAAAACTAGTATATAGTATCCAAATGTGGCTTTTGGGTATGAATTAGGAGATGCACGTGGTCAACCTAAATTCTTGGGAAACATTCTAAGCCTCCCTCAATTTGTAAAGAACACAGCATTAATATTAGAAATTGAAGTCCTTTGTAATCACACTCTAGCATGCATTAAATTTTTGGATCCATTTATAAACTTACTGGCACAAGCTTTCTGGCACTGAAGATGACAGGCAGTTATACCTATCTTTGGCTGAAGATGTTAATTGATAAAGGCAATCAGACTGGATTAAAGTAATACAGTTAATTCAATATAATTTCTTAGAGGCGGGGTGACAAAAAAGGATGATTGGATATTGATTTTCAGGTGACATGGTCAGGGTCAAACTGTGTATGTTCACGACCAAAGCAGAGGACCCAGCCAAGATCAGCCCAAAGTTTTATTTACAGTTAAATACAGAAAAGCATTTAGCTGCTCCTTTGTCTATCACCAGCAGAAGGATCTTTTCAAAAAGATCCGCTAGGATTGTGTCCTCGTCAATTAGGATAGAAACAGTGGATCATGTTTTATTGGACTATATTTTTTAACAGCTAATAAAATCATCTAAAATTTGGGGGAAGCAGTGGTGCAGCAGCTTAATGATGCTGGAACTGTTGGCCAGAAATGTTCAGCACTCAAACGGTTTAAGCCCAGCCTCCACCAGACAGAGTGGGCTCCAGTCATTTGCCCCTAGCTTTTAGCCAACGTATCAATTTGAAAACATGTAATGTGAATAGATGAATAGGTTTCCCTTCAGTGGAAATGTAACAGTGCTCTGCGACATCATGCTGGCTACACGACCGCAGAATCGTCTTTGGACAGCATCTTAGAAATGGAGATGAGCAACGTCCCCTATTAGCTGCTAACTCAACAGAGTAAAATCTGCAGGGACTTCTTTACTTTTACGTTTAGATAATAAAATAATAATACAGGATTCACTCACTACCCCATTACTCATTTTGTTGCCTGGAAGGACAAATATATTTTGTGTTTAACACCTGCTGGCTGGCATAAGTAAGACTGAATCACAACAAACAGCAACATATTTTGCAGCAGCTTTTTAGATGAGATCATAAATAATTAAGGTATGTTAGTAAAAACTGGAGGGAGATAAATGGCTTTTTATGCTATGCATATGTATGCTTTTCATTTTTTAAAGTACTTGTACCACATTTTGCTGTTTTACTCTGTTGTTACTTTGTCGATTTAACAATTGTTTAATAATGATTTAATAATGGTTCTATTGGTAATTCATTGTTTTAAAAAATGTCTTAACTTTAATTGTTTTACATGTCAGCTGTGGAAATCTCTGAACAGCCTGATCGATTGATATTACACATGTCATAAAATGATAGTTGCATTTGGAAGCAAAGCAGTTAAACAACATAAATAATTAAACCAAGTACAATATGGCAGACACAGCCATGCTTACTTTCAGTAATAGTATCTTACTGACAAAACAAGATGCTTCCTGGAATCCTTTAATTTAGGCAAAAAGTTCAAAGCATATGCTTTCTCTCAACCAGAACAGATGCAACTGCACAATATGTACAGTTTTACTTTGCATGGGCCAACAGGTTCTACATTATCTTTTGTATAAAAAAGACATAATTTAAGAATGAAATAGTGTTCAATATGGCATCTGAAAGAATCTTAGGATAAAGTTTCCTCTATTTATTTTAGTTTCTTCTGACCACACATTTATATCTTCCCACACCATTCAGGTATATATAAATTTGATATCATGCTGCTGATGAAATTGACAGTGTCCATGAAGGTTTATGCCAGAATGTATGTGTTAGCCTTTAAAGCAATAAGACTTTTTCTTTGGCTGCAACAGACTAGAGTAACTATCCCTCTGGAACCTGACTGAAGAAACTTCAATTGATTTATTCAATTCTGCGTTGATAAACATTGCTTTTTATTCTTTCTAGAAATGGTATCTAGAACAGCTCACCACATATATGGGTACTGTGCTTGCGCAGTGCCTGTATTTGGGAAGACTTCATAGATTTAATGGTTTTTAGCAGGAACTCTGCGCCCCCTCCCCCTGGTATAAATGGGCAGAGTCCCCGTCCCCTCGCCAATCAGCTGAAGACTGCCCATTCGCCCCCGGCTGATACCGGCAAGGAAACGTGAGTGTGGTAAAACTGTAAGAATAGTAATCCAGTCAAATTTTTCTATGGAGATTTTTCCACATCATGTATGTCTGTAATTGCCTATAGTTGTCTAAGCTGTTGTACTGCAATCATTGTTCAGTAACACACAGTGAAGGAAACCTGAAACTAAGACTGTGTTGTTTCACTTAAGAACATAAGAAGAGTAATGCTGGACCTGATTAATGGTTCATCCAACATTCTGTTCACACAGTGACCAACCAGTTGCCAGTGGGATCTGACCAGCGAGAAATGAATGCAACAGCACCCTCTTGTCCAAGTTCCCTGTATGCACAGACTGATGTCAATCCTTACATGAATTAGAACATTCAATTAGTTGTTCTGGATCAGATTTTCTTAACTTGAAAAGCTGTATCAGCTGTTTTGGGATATAGATCCTAAAAACAAGGTATTCCTTGAGGTGTATCCTTTTTGGTGGGGAGGTTATATATAAGCAAACGTCATAACTATATATTATCTTTACATTTTTACAAGTATTCCAATAAATAATTTGAATGTGTCTGCCTATAATAAACTATATTGTGCAGTTCATTTAATTTCCCCCAAACATATATTTTTGTTCAATATTTTGTAGCTACTGGGAAGCTTTTGATGGATTTACACCATACATAAAATTGACACGAATTACATTTTTCATTCTGTTTACTAAATATAAGACTTATTTAGTGAGAATGTATGTTGTGAAATAAAATGAATCAGGTATTTTAAATCAGGTAACATTTAGATGACTGAATTTTTAAAATAATTTTTTCTGCTCTTTCTGAAAAATCCACATTACTGTCTGTGGGAAGAAAATAAAATTAATGTAATGTAATTAGATCACTACAGACTCCATTAAGATTGGAGGCATATCCTCACACTGGAATTACCAGGGGATTCAAACAATGACTCTTATCTTTACCAGATTCATTAAGAATTAGAAAAGACATGCAAGTTAGATATAAAGACAACATCACCTTCCTTCCCTTCCCTTCCCTTTCTGCTAAACCATTACCTCACTTTCTAATGCAAGAATGAATCATCCAGTAGTCATATGCAATTATCTTGATACACAGAATATAGGTTACCACACATCCTCATGATCTGTCAATGGAAAGAACTTACCAGAAATCATAACTATTCCTTCTAATGCTAAACTCAGGTAGTTAAGCACCTTTAGGCTTTGAAAAAAAATGGGTTCACCAGAAAAAGGAGAGAATAGTTGCTATACATGCTTGGGATTCCCTATGTATACAGAAATATGCAAGGTTGGTTTCTCCATCTAGATAATGATGATGCTTTATAGAAACATAGAAACAGAGCGAGTCAGAAGGGGACTCCAGGGCCATCTAGTCTGACCTCCGGCACCAACCGGCTCCACTCATGACATGCCCACCATGTGCACGTCCAGCCTATCCTTGAACACCCGCACCGATGGGGCCTCAACGACCTCCCGTGGAAGCCCATTCCACTCCCTCGGGGTCCTGACTGTCAGGAAGTGCTTCCTGGCATCCAAATGGAACCTTGGCTCCCTGAGCTTTGCTCCGTTGCAGCGTGTCCTGCCTTCCTCTGCAGGGGAGAACAGGTCTCTACCCACCTCCATGTGACATCCCCTCACATACCTGTATGTTGCCAACATGTCCCCTCTGAGTCTCCTCCAGGCTGAAGAGACCCAGTTCCCTCAGTCTCACCTCATACAGCAACCCCTGCAAACCGACCACCAACCTTGTGGCCCTACGCTGCACTGACTCTAACCTGACTATATCCTTTCTGTAATGAGGGGCCCAAAACTGAGCACAATACTCCAGTTGCGGGCGCACCAAAGTCGTATAGAGTGGTAGTAATACCTCTCTTGACCTAGAACCCACACTTCTGCCTATGCAACCAAGGGCAGCGTTCACTCTCTTGACCACCGCAACACACTGCTGAATCATGTTTAGCCTGCAGTCAACCAGTACCCCGAGGTCCCTTTCACAAGTGCTGCTCTCCAGCCACTTGTCCCCTATCCTGTACTTATGACAGCAATTCCTATGCCCCAAGTGCAAGACCTTGCACTTATCCACATTGAATGCCATCCTGTTGTCTATCCACATTGAAAGACATCCTTGAGAAGACTCAGTTTACAGTAAATCACACCTGCCTGTGCTAACCAAGGATATAATCTGTGTTTGTTATAACTCATGCTTTCTTTTTGACATATTTGCCTTTGTAAAACAACATCAAAGCAAGCAGATAAATAAATATTTGATAACTGGTTGTAGTTTGGACTCCATAATAATTTGATAGCTTTCTATTTACCTTTGTATGACCAAGGACTGCTAGATGGACAAGGAGCTTTTTTTTGTTGACAGGGACACTTTCTGTTTCAGGGGATACTCTGACAGCTTTAATTCTGTCTCCTGCAATTGTTGGTGTGCATGCTTTATTAAGGCTACTTACCTGGATAAATTTAAATGAGGAGAGTTCATTTTCTTCAACATTACCATTCTTAGCAGTGCTTAGTGTCCACACAGGCAAAGACACATCTTAATGTAGTAAAGCAAATTATCATTCTCCTGATCCGGAAACAGACACATTAACCTTACCTCTGGTTTACTGAGGCTTGATGAGACAAGAGAACCTGATCCCACATCCAAATCCCACTGTTTTCTTCCACTGTTCTCTGGGTCTAGAGCAGCAATCCGTCCATCCAAAGTACTTATAATTACTAATGATCTGCAAATAAAAAACATGCCCACAAGTGAGAACTTAGACATCAGCTTGAAACATGGAACTCACTTTCAATCTTCTACAATGTACAATTGCACTTTCCAACTCTCATGTAATTCCCTCTCCCCTCTTTTTCTCCTCGACTAAAAAATTCAGTAGTACCACTGATGAAAACCACATACACTGAAGAATACCTTGTGGGTCTGAAATCACAGGTTGCAGGACAATTAACTAAACTAATTTAGACATTTATTAGTTCCATAAACATGAACATTTATACATGACAATTATAAGAAATCCATAGCAAAATAACGCATGTATTAAAATTCTGTTTTGATTATGGGTATTTCATGTTCTTCCCAATTTCTCACAGTTTATTTCAAATATGAATCCAGGTACTGCCTTGTCCATTCAAACCCTTATTTTAAGGGGGAAGTAAGATTAATAGTGGCAGGGCTAGAATATGATATGCTTTTATAAATATGATACCTACATCCACACATTTTTATTGAGATGATTGTAATTTAATGGAAACAAAGTTCCAGAAAAGTTAAGAACAGGAAAAAAAAGCCATGCTGGATCTGATTAAAGGTCTATCTATTCCAGTATTCAGTTCAGAACAACAAAGAGCTTTCTGTGGAAAACTGAGTATAAAAGGATCCTCCCACTTAGATTCCCCAACACAGGCATACTGCCTCAGATACCCAGGCAATTGAAGTCCCCCCATTACTACCATATCATACTTCCTTGAAATACTAGCAATTGGCTTAACAAAAGTTTCACCCTCATCTTTTCCTTGCCTGAGTGACTGATATGTGACTATTATGTCCCTTTTATTCCTTGACACATTTATTTCAACCCAAATGTTCTCAGTGGGGCTATCAGGTTCATCTTCCTGTATTTCTGTGCAAGAATAAGTATTTTAAATATGTAATGCAACTCTACCTCCTTTCCTATTTCTTCTTCTCTTTTTGAACAAGTTATACCCTTCAATTCAGTCATGGAAGGCATCCCATGAGGTTTCAGTAATACCCTTCAAGTCTTATTTGCTTTCATGTATTAAGAGTTCAAGCACATTCTGTTAGCTTCCCATACTCTGGGTATTAGTGTATACACAATTAAGCCCATGTACTTTATAGTCTGGCTTTTTTCCTACATTATCGTCAAGACAGTTTTGGCATACTACTAGAGTTCTCCCCTCTCTGTTATGGTGCATACGACTTCATCCACTGTTGCTTCCAAGTCCTTGTCTCTCTACTGATGCCCTCCTAATGAAATTCTTTATGCTGTGGCCAAACATATTCTTTCCATCTCTTGTGAGGTGCAACCCATTCCTGCCATCTTCCAAGTAGCATAGTCTGTGGTCCCTTTTCTCACGAGGGCACCAACTTTGTAGCCAGTTGCTTTCCCTTTTTATTCTTTTGTCAGGAACTGGAAAGATGGATGAGAAAACTATCTGGGCCCCAAAGTTCTTGAGTTCTCCCTACACCCTGAAGTTCAAAACTTGATGTGCCTTTTTTTCCAGCTCCTTTTGGCAGCATCATTTGTTCCCATGTGGATTAGAAGAAAGTGATAGGTGTCTGGGGGCTCTATTCCCTTTGGCAATCTTTCAGTCACACCTCTAATCCAAATTCCAGGGAGACAGCATACCGGATGAGTCCATGGGTCATTATAGAACAGTTGGGCTTCAATCTCATAACAGGGAGTCTCCCACAATGACTACTTTTCTTTTTTCTTGGTCAATTGTCTTTCTGCCTCTTGCTCCCTGTTGCACAGGTTCCCTTGTAATTTTTCCCCTGCCAGCTGTCCATTGGTGTCATCCTCCAGTGGTTACTTAGTTCTAGTGGTTCCATGGGAGCATAGTGTTCAATTCTTCTGCTGCTGCTACCTTTCTCCAAGAAATTTCCTCTTCATTAGCTTTCCTCAACTCAGCATTCTTTATATCTGCTTCAGCTTGCTGTTGCTCTTCCATCTCTGGTGCCTCTCGTTGCAGTTCCATTGTTCTGTTGAAGAACTCTTCACCTTTCTTATTCCTTGGAGGGTGGACACCCGCCAACTGCCACTTGTACCTTTTCTTCTAATAGTGCAACCAGGTTACATTTAATACAGGTATACACTATGTTAATATCAGGGAGGAAAACAAAAACTGCATACCCTTTGCAGGTCACAATCACTAACAAATCTTTTCCAGCCATTGTGTGCTAAACAATGAGGAGGAAGAAAATGTAGAATTATTGCTTTCCCACTGCCTAGAAGCCACCAGCCTCAGAGGTTTATGGGCATCCTATACAAAGCAGGGAAAAAAGCAGAGGTAATCCTAGCTGGAACATCTCAAAAGAGGAAAGAAGGAGCCTACAATGGCTACAGATTACCATGTATCCTGGTCTCTGAAGTTTCCCTCCCATCCTCCAAAGCATCCGTACTGAGCCTTCTCTGAGGTTACTGTACTGTACTAAGAGGGGGAGTTAGGGCTCCAATTCTCATCTCTGAGCATAGGTAGGAATACAGAATATCCTGTGGCCCACAAATATTGTCTAAAAACCACAAGACTGTTCTCCTATGAACTATGTTTGTGTGCTTCCCCTTCCTCTTTTCTGTGCTTCAATTGATTACTTCCTGTTTGAATCAAACCACAGTTTGGGTTTATTTATTATGCTTTTTACCAAAGCACCCAAAGCATCTCACAATATTCATGAAATGTAACGTGCCATTAAAAGCATCCCATGAAAATGTTCAATCCCTGAGGAAAGACTTCCAAAGCCATTCCAGTACAGCTTGTATTCTTCCTCCAAACCAGGATTACAACCCATGGTTTCAAGGTAGTTTGCATAACATTTTGTAGTAACACATTTAATTTCTTCCATCAAAAACCAACAACTCAGACACTTTAAAAATGCTCATTTATCATGAAAAACTGGTCTAACACCAATTTAGGCCCACTTGCACTGTCTGTCTATATGCTTCCAAGCTCAATTCAAGGCACTGGTTTTAGTACGTAAAGCCTTACATGGCTTGGGACTATGATACCTGAGGGAATGCCTCTCCCAAATTTCATCTACCCAGACACTAAGATCAAGTACTGGGGTCTTCCTCCAGCCACCACCTCCAAGAGAGTCTTAGATGGTGGCAAAAAGGAGAAGATGCTCCTTCCCCAGGGTGCCCCCCCATTATGACTCAAATGCCCTACTGAGCCCTGCCTGGTGCCAACTTTACTATCTTTTTGGTGTCGGTAAAGATTGTCCTCTACTGAAAGGCATTCAGTTAGACTACTGGGATCTGCTAGTTGCTAAATCAATCTTAAAACATTCTTCTAGTTATTATAGTTTAAAAAAATGTTTAACAAATTTTGCATTGTAAACTTTTTATGTTTTAATATGGTTAAGAGCATGGGCCTGGGACTCAGACGATCTGGGTTCTAGTCCCCACTCAGCCAACTGGGTGACTCTGGGCCAGTCACAGACTCTCAGCCCAACCTACCTCACAGGGTTGTTGTTGTGGGGATAAGATGAAGGAGGAGAATGATGTAAGCTGCCTTGAGCCCTTTGTAGGAAAAGGCAGGATATAAATTGAAAAATAAATAATAAAAATATATTTTATATTGCATTTTTAATGTGCTGTTGTAAACCACCCAGAGAGCTTTGGACATTGGGCGGCATAGAAAATATATAAATAAATCGGCTGGTGCTAATACAGGCAGTCCCCAAGTTACAAATGTCCAAGTTACAAACAACCTGTACTTACCAATGAACAGCCATAAAGCCTATTCATTTTTTAAAAATTACTGCAGAAAATCTACATCATCACCAGAGAGGAAGGAGGAAGAAAGGGTGGACCTTCAAAGCATCACCGTAGAGAGCCAGAGAACAAGGAGAAAGGGAGGACCCCCAAAGTAGACCTTCCTGTCCTGCCCATCCAGAGAGGTTAATCTCTCCAGCATTTCCTTGCTACAAAGAGGTGGCGCTGGTGAGTTTGGACGTGGGGAGGGAGGACTAAAGATAACTGCAGTTTTTCTACTTGCACTGGAGTCCTGAACTCCTAACCCTCACAAACCCTCACTTCACAAATGTGAAGTGCCAACTATATGTGATTCTACTTACAAACTTGACTTTCCATTTTCTCAGGAATAAAATTCATTTGTAACCCAGGGACTGCTGGTAATTTTGTTTTATACTAGAAGGACAGACTATCAAAAGCAAATTGTTTTATTGAGGAAGATTAAACTTATGGATGCAAGTTTTAGTTAGTAACCCTAAGCATATGTATTAGGAAAAAAGCTCCACTGAAAATGATGGGATTTATATCTGGGTAAGCATGAATGGAACTGTGCTGTAAGCAATCACAAAATACTTTCCTTTCATTGTACCACTAATCATGTTTACAAAAACAGTAAAATTGGGGGGAAAAGTTTCCTAACCACATACTGCTAGTTTCAACATACTTCATACTTGAAAGGAAAACAATTAGATGATCTTCTCATTCAGTTGATAAAAAGTGTTCAGTTCAACTAGCACTAGGTAAAGATATAGCCCGGGTTTCCATGACACATTAAGCCACCATGGCTTCAAAGCCACAATACTTTAGCATGTTGTCCAAACCCAAGAGCACACCCCACTCCATGCTGCTGTAACTTCCCCACAGGCCTGAAACAGCAAAGTGAAACCAGCAAGGAAGAGGTTCTACTTCCCAACCACCACCTGTTGTATTGGGTCAGCAGGGAGAGGAAGGAAGTTTCAGGCCAACCAGCTGAAATGTACTCTATTTGTCATTTCAGCTGAAAGAACAAGCTATGTTATCCTGTGTCTCTTCTGGGGGTGGCAGGAGTGGGGGGACATCCTGTGTTCTGTTTAGCTTCCCATACAGACATTCATACAAGGATGATGGACAGATGTAGCAGTGTCAACTGGTACCAGCTGCCATTACTGAGAGTAAAGCAAGCACAGTCTCTTCAGTCCCAAGTGCTTTCATTCTTGAAATGAGTGGCCAAGGATCCCCCTGGGGTCCTTTGTTCTGGGTTTCTTTGCAATGCACCAGTGTCCTTAGGGAAGCACAGCTAGACTGCCGGTTGTACTCAACACACTATGTACACCTTTGGTGTTGAAACTATGTAGCATGTCCCAAAAACATGCCAAGCCAATTCCGAGCTTCTCTGCATTCATCCCTAAAGCATACACTCTGGGTTTTGGCAGAAACAAAAATTAAAAATTCAAGATTCAAGAAAAAGCACAGAATTAAAAAAAAGTGCTGGTCAGATTCTAAGGACATAACTGTAAGCCATTTAAAGAGACAGCTTGGATTCAGTGCAGAAAGCTATAAGCAGTTCAAAGCAGCATATAAGTAGCAAAGAACCAATGAAAGGGAAAAATACCATCTACCTAACAGAGAGCCTTGTATTAAGCTGCTTATCTGCTTCCTCGAAGATCCTCTATGTCAGTGGCAAAGTTCTGCTGGTGCCTGTGTCAGGCCTTCTCCCATTTGTCTGAGAAAAATCTGTGCCTGGGTGCCTGTACTAGAGAAAGCTTGGGCTCTCCACATTGATGCCTCTAGCTCCCTTATTAGCTGGGAGATTCGTTCCTGCCACTCATACTGCAATAGAAAGCCCCTCAACTTCTTTTTCCAATGTAATCATCTCCTCTCTGGTTCCTTCCACCTTGCTTGGGTGAAGAATTTTGAGAGTCTCTTGCTTTTTGATAGCTCATTCTGAGCTCTGAGATGGATGCTGGAAGATTCATATTGTTCAGGTACCTGCCCTCATCCAGGCCATCTGTATTGCAATGCCAGTGTACCCTAACTAGTCTTTTACTATGCTGAGATCTGTAGCTGATTGCAAAAAGGAGGTTTCTGCCTCTTGGACCTGCCTAAGTTGAACTCAATACAGTCTGAATGAGTGGGCTATTACAGGCTGACCAAAACACCACCTCAAGAAGAGGCTGAGAAGAACAAGGCTCATCCTGCAGCTGCTGCTCCCAACAGAAGGTTTGCCAAATAGCCCCTCCCTGCCACGATCAGCATTGGGGAACCTCAGAAAGCTGTCTCAAAGTGCTGCTTCCTACTCCACTCAATTCACTGTTCCTGCATTGTCTTCTGGGATACCAGCAAAGGTGGGAAGGAGGGGCCTCAAGACCTCTGCTGTGGCTGACCATCTGCCAGACACACTGCAAGCCTTGGCTAAATAAGCTGCACCACATGCCTTTCTACACGGTATGCCAAATTGTGCTGTGCACACTGACCACAGACTGCACAAAGCTTGGAACTCATTAACCTTATATCAGGTTTGGGAAGTCTTTTTTTTGTTGTTGAAGGCCACATTCACTCACACATACTCTGTTAGTGGCTGTGCATACTGGCAGGGCAACTCCTTTTATCTCATCTCTTCCTCCTCTACCCAAGTAGGGTGCTGAAAGGAGGTTGGTACTGCTCTCATCAGAGGTCTAAATCACTTGTCAATAGCTTCTGAAATTAGTTCAAAGACTGCATTGCAGACCTAAGCCAACCCTGCCTTAAACTCTAAACAGGAAATTCTGTCTAAATAATGAATTAGCACATTCTCAGAAATTTCAGGTTAAATGCTTATTTTTCTTATATAAATGAAAAGCAGTGCAGATGAAAAACACCAGTAGTTGCAGGAATTATAAACACTTCTAGTTTCTAGAGCCATTCCTATAAATGAATAAGTCTAATTTTTATTTTTATCCCTGTATCATTCCCTTTTCTACATTTTACACTCAAAGGTTTCCTAAGTGTATGTAAACTCAGCTTAAAGTTTACTTACACTGTAAACAATCTGAAAAAGCCCTTATACTTCCTGCATACAACAGGATGTGCTCACATGCAGTCCATGCAGTATACACCAATACACTAGTGGCTAGTATTAAGTCTCCTTGAATGTCTCCCAAAAAAGTTCACAGGAACATTACTGATGAAACCCGATGTCAGATGTATAAAAAAATGCCAAAACACAAAGAACCGATCCCTCAGAAATCTACCAAAGAAAGAATGATACAGGTCTCAGAAAGAAAGAAAGCTCTGTAGAAGCCAGTGAACAAACACATTCATTCCCTCTCCATATCATTCTCCAGACAGGCAATCCTTCAATGTATTTATACTAAGAGTAAGCCCACTGAAATTCTCATACCTTAAGTCTATCATTTCAATGAGTTTATACTAATTACAGATAAGTCTGAATCTATCAGGCAGTTATTAACAAAGAGAACTGGTCGACATCTAGTGTTTATGGTGCAGTAATGGCCTTTGCTTTGGTTCAGACAGGGGTAAGGAGGAAGCTCCAGGGCAACCTTGGGCCACATCTTCCTCCAATCTAATCTACCTCAAACAGTTACTGTACGAACAAAAGCGGGGAAAGGATAAACGCCATTTGCGCTATACAGGATATTTGAGAAGAAAAGCTGAGTAAAAACCAAACTCTTCTCGCGCGCACTGCTCGATTTCGACAGCATGGCCATGCAAGGCGATGCTGTCACTCCAGGGAAGCCTGCGATAGCTCCAGGCATGCTGATCACTGAAAAAAGAAAATGTGAGAAGGAAAAGGATGCTGAAACTATCCTGTTTCCACCAATATCCCGAGACCCTGTCGCCTCACCTGTAGCTGCCACTCCGGGCGGGCGCATCCACTGCTTCCTCCTCCTGCTCCCCGAGGGACGCCGCTTGAGGCACCCCGCTGGCCTCATCATCCTCTACAGTCACGTCGGCAACCACAGGGAGCGCGGCAGCTGCAACGCCGCCGAGTCCTAGTCCCGGCTGGTTTTCTCCATCCGAAAACGCCGCCGCCGCCTCCCTCAGGGAGATGCAAAGCGGCAGAAGCAACCAGAGGGGTACCAGGGCGGCGATGGCTGGGAGAGTTGTGGCGGTGGACGAAGCAGGCCGAACGCTTGGGCCTCGCGGCCCGGGCATGAAGGGGGCCTCCCGCCACTCGCCTCACGGACGTCGTTAGGACATACGTCCCGCACCTGCCAAACAACCTCCGGAAACGGCGCGATCGGTTTTCCTCAGCGGACCGAGCCGGGCACAACCCACGCGCACTGCAACACTGCAAGCGAGCCTGGATATTGGTTGCACTACAACCAATCCCGCCCCGTTTTGGCCACGTACCGGCGCTTTCGTTCACAACCAAAAATGTTTATCCTTACGCTTGAACATTGTGTCATATCACGCGTCTGTCCAATCTCAGAACGCGGGCCGAGACTTTTCTTCCAGAATTCAACACTATTCCGGAAAAAGAGCAATATATGATGCTTGTCAGTGCGCGCACCAATAACAGAAGCGGTTCGAACGGATGGGGAGTACAGCGATTGGTTGCTACCATTTCCCGCCCCTTCCTGTTCAACAGAGATTGGGCAACGTCAATGCTTCCTACGTGGCCGATTCTGAGTGTGGACAGCAATATCTAATACACAGAGCGCTCGCTGTCGGAACTCTTAAAGGGACCGTAGCAGTGAAGCCCTTTTGTGTTTAAAAGGCGAAGGACGTATCTTGTATAGTCTGATAACTCTTCTTAAGTAACCAGGGGCCAGCTGAGGGTTTGCCACAATCCAGTGTATGTTTTAGCTATAAAAATATAAGATGAACAGTACTTCATTAGACAAAGTAGCCATGCAGCGGAATGAGGTGTATGAGAGTCCCAAGATGGAAAGTTTGGTAGTACTGCTTCAGTCCGTAGGGGTGGGGCCACATTTTGGAATAATAAGTGAGAAGATATAAAGGAAGGGCAAGGGTGTAGTGGAGTTAACCCTCGGGGGTCGGAGTGCCTCCCACTTATTTTAGAGGGTGTCCTCAGGGAGGTTACTGTCCCTCTTAAAAGACTTAATTTGTTGGTTCGCGGCTAGCAGCTACTTCTGGGTTCGGGGTCCTGCATTTAATGGGTTAAGAACAGGGGTGCTTTTTTGGACAGTTCCCAACAGTTATTGGAAACTACCTATCTGGAGCGCTGCCTGCCAGGCAGGCACATGTGTTTTCTGTGATACTTTCCCTCATGATCAGCCTCTGCTGCTCAGCAATATGTGGTCAGCTTGCCTTTGCTGCTCCAAAAGCTACTTCCCCTCCTTCCTGCATTCACACCACACTTTTATTCCACTTTAAACAGTCATTGCTTCCCCAAATAATTGATGTATTGAGTGTTACTAGTGGACACCTATTCCTCACACAGAGAGGTACAGTTTCCAAGTTTCTGGGGAAGAGGGATTGACTGAAAAACCAGTCTGAAAATTCCAGCTCTGTGAGGTGAATAGGTATTTTCTGGCAACTTTTAGCTCCAGAATTATTTAGCAGAAATAATGGTTAAAGTGGAATAAAAGTATTGTAATGGGAGTATATTCACTGGAATCGATGGGGAAATTAGCCATGAGTAATGATAGACTTAAGTTGCTCTTATGCAGGATTCAGCATGGATTCAATGAGAGCACAATAGACTCTTGAAAAATTTGAGAAACTGGAACCCCTAAACTATGGATTCTGGACTCATGGAGGATCTCCCACACATATGCACACACAAAGTGGTTGCAGAGGCCACAGAAAATTAAAAAATGCAAATAGTAATTATCAATCCAGGCTGCTGCTCTTGGAAGAATATAATAACAGTAGTCCCCTGAAATTCACAGGGGTTGCATTCCTAGAGCACCTGCAAATTGTGAAAAACTGCAAATTTCGAATGTTGTAAAAAATAAAAATATAAAATGCCTATTTTTATAGTTTAAACCCTAAACATGTCTTTCACTGTCATTTTCTTTGGTATAAGTAGGGTAAATACAGTAATAATGTAATTTAATAGAAAAACAGTAAAATGTACACTGTACTCACAGCAAAACAGGGAATTTACAGCTCTTCGGGTGGCGCCTCTTCTTCAGGCGCTTCAGGAGGAGTCATATCGTCTGACAGTGGGGTTTAGTGCTTGCTTTTGCTGAGGAACATTGTGATGGAAAGCTGCTGTCGTTGTTTCTTCATGGTTGTGAGGAGGGTTTTATATGTCTGAATGGCAGCATCGATGCTATTATTAACTTTGAGAGCCTGGACCATATAGGGATCCCATGCTTCAATCATCCCTTGCAACTCCTTCACTGTCCTAATAATCTGGGACAGAAGTTCCAATGTCAGGCCCTGCTCCTCCTCCTCTTGCTCTGGTCTTTCACTTCCTCCTCCTCTTCACTGGCAGACTTTGTTAACTCCAACAAATCCTCATTTGTCAGGGGTTCAGAGTGGGCATCGATGAGGTTGTTGACCTCATCTTGAGTGATGTCATCAAAACCTTCACCACCAAGTATCTTTGCCAGTCTCATGGCCTTGTCGACAGCCTCGTGCTGAATTTCTTCAGGTGAGAAGCCCTTGTAGTCATGGACACACTCTGGCCACAGTTTCTTCCAGCATGCCTTGAGGGTTTCCTTTTTCATCTCCTTAAGAGCAGCTTGGATGACTGACAGGCACGTTGCGATCGTAAAGTTACGCCAGTAACCCTTTAATGTAAAATTCTCGTCCGTGTCCATTGCATCCACAAGGTGTTGGAGAGAATTCCGGGTATAAAGAGCCTTGAAGGCACAGATCACGCCTTGGTCCATAGGTTGGATGAGGGAGGTGGTGTTGGCAGGGAGGAACTTAATCTGGACTCCATCGTAATACAGATCCAAAGGGTGGCCACCAGCATTATCCATAATGAGCAACACCTTGAAGTCCATGCCTAAGTAGTGGAGGTATTCCTTGGCTTGAGGGATGAAGCACTGATGAAACCAATTTGAAGTTAGGATTTTGGTAATCCAGGCCTTAGGGTTCTGCATCCAGTAGACAGGCAACAGGTTTTTATTTTTGTTTTTGAGGGCCTTAGGGTTCGCTGATTTGTAGATGAGGCCTGGTTTCATCATGTAACCAGCAGAATTGCCACACATAATGAGCGTCACTCTGTCCTTCTGTGCCTTAAACCCTGGAGCTTTGGCTTCATCCTTCATGATGTAAGTTCTGGACAGCATCTTCTTCCAGAACAAGCCAGTCTCATCTATGTTGAAAACTTGTTCAGGCTTGTATCCCTTCTCCTCTATGATGTGCCTGAACGTCTCAGGGTACTTTTCCACAGCTTCTTTGCTGGCAGATGCTGCCTCTCCGTGTAGGTAAACACTTTTAATATTGAATAGTTTCTGAAAACGATCAAACCATCCCTTACTGGCTTGAAAATTTTCAGGCTCTGGCGCTGTTGATGGTCCTGGTTGTGGTTCTTCGATACCTTCTGTATTGTCTCCTGTAGTGAACTGCTGGTACAATTTGCGTGCTTTCTCACGGATGATGTTACCATCCAAGGGGATGTTCTTCCTGCAGTCAGTGATCCACAATACCAGGGCAGATTCCACCCTGACAATATTCTTATTTCTTACAGTTGTTACCTTTTTGGCACTATCACAGAAACATACTGATACAGTACTCCTGATTGCTGCCTTGTTCTTCTTTATGTAGCGTATGGTGCTTTCATTGACGCCATAATGGTGCGCTACTGTGGCGTTACTTTTTAGTTCCCAGAACAAATCCAGTAATTCAGCTTTCTCCCAGAGAGTTTTAAACTTCCTCTGGCACTTAGGGGTTCTTTGGCAGAAGGCTTGGAAGGTGCGGGGCATTTGGGCGGCGTGTTAGGGCTTCAAGAACCTGTGAGATGTGTCACAGGGCAGCAGCCAATCAGCGGTTTCCATGAACAATAGCACAGTGCTGTAGTTCGGTTCCAAGGAAAATTCCACTAAAGACTGAGTCCGCGAATGCTGAACCACGACTTTGCAGGTATATATTGTACATAGGTTTCTATAAGTGTGGATAATTAGTGCCTGAGTTTCCTTTCTTCCTCTTCCCTCCCTTATCCCTTTCCCCTTGTATGTCATGTTTTTAGGTAGGAAGCTTGTGTGCAGGAGCTGCCTTATTCCACATAAGACACTCTGGGAGTTTTTTGGCTGGAGAGTGGGATGTACAGAAGCTGTCAGTGTTTCACCTCAAAAAGAGATACCCTAATCTTGTACTCATTACTCAACAGAAATTCAAACAAAGTGACAAAGCTCATTGTATAATTATAGGTTGCATAATCTTGGAAATAGGTATGGCTTGGGGTATATGACTTTGACAGGGTGTGTGGTTTGAGGTGTGGCTCTGACTATCATGAAGGGAGCCATTTCTAAATTTGCCACTACACCACTGGAAAAGGGCAAACAAAATGATCATGGAGCTGAACACCCCCGCCCCCCCGGCACATGATGAAAAAGGTTACAGTGCCTGGGACTACTAAATTCAGAGGGAAATGCAAATGAAGGGAAAATAGAGTTGAACAAAATAAAGAAGAGAAGGAAACATTTTTCTTTGCTATAATACTAGAACCCAGTGGGGTTATCCCATGAAGCTAGGTAGTGGGAGTTTTGGGACAAATAAAAAGTACTTCACACAGCATACAGTAAAGCAATGGAATTCACTTCCACAACACGTAGTGCTAGCTATTAATGATCAGATTGGACAAGCCACAGTTTAAAGAATCCACAGGGTGTCATTACATGGAAACTGGGCCTAACTTTCACACCTTCCCATCTAGACAAATACTAATTACAGAACAATCCCAGTGAAGAAGTTAAGGCTAAAAAAGTGCAAATTCTACCCCCATTTATATGTCCAACCCATATAAGGAGCAACAGGTCCAATTCTTTACATCAGTCTCACTCTGCTACTATCACATTTGACCCTGTGTGTGTGTTCAGCTGTTCAGTCGTGTCCAGCTATAAGCAGTCCTGTGAGACAAATCTTGCCACACTTTTCAATCCACCTCTTTCAGCTGAACTATGCTCTGACCCGCATCCTCTTTGGGTGTCTAAGAAGCATACTCTTTGGTGACCTGGTTTTCTCTTGCTACTGAGCATTCCAAGCATTGTATCTTTTTTGAACAAGCTTGATTGCATGATGTGGCCAAAATAAGTGAGTTTCAGCTTTGTTATCTTGCTGACCAGGGATGCATGTAGTTTAATATGCTCTAGCACCTGCCTGTTCATCACCCCTGCTGTCCATGGAATGCGCAGGAACCTCTGCCAACACAACAGCTCAAATGAGTCGATTTTTCTCTTGTTTAACTTTTTCATTGTCCAACTTTCACAGCCATAGGTTTCTCTAGGAAAAACAATCATTTGGACCAATCTGCACTTGGTTGCCAAGCTGCTGTTCTTGTTTTTCCACACACGATTCATGCTTGTCATTGCCATACGACCTAATGAAATTTGTCACTTTATTTCTGGGCTGCATTCACCGTTGCAAGTAATCTGTGATCCCAGGAAAGTGAATTCCTCTACACATTCAATTTCCACATTATCAACTGCTATTTTGATGGCTTCATTCTGTGCAGTCACCAAGATCTTTGTCTTTTTCATGTTCAGAAAAGGTCAAACTTCTCACTCTCTTCTTTGATTCTTTGGATCAATTGCTTTAGACCTCCCTGGGTTTCTGAGAAAAGGGTTGTGTCATCAGCATATTGAAGGCTGTTGATGGGTCTTCCTCCAATTTTTATCCCAAATTTGATTCTTCAAGATCCATCTTCCTCATTCCTTCCCAGCATACAAGCTGAACAGAAAAGGGGAAAGAATACATCCTTCTCAGACTTTTTTTTCCACCTTAAACCAATCAGTGTCCCTGTATGGTGTTCTTATAGTTGTCCATTGTATATAGTGACTGCAGCCACCTGACTTGATGTGTTGGTACCCCCAGATCTTTTAATGCTTTCCACAACTTCTCATGATCAACGCAGTCAAAGGCTTTCTCATAGTCAATAAAGCACAGGTAAATGTTCTTTTGATATTCTTGAGATTTCTCCACAATCCAGCACAAATTTGCAATATGGTCACAAGTGACCCAGTCTCTTCAAAAGTTTGGACTTCAGGTAGTTCCCTTTCTATAACCCTATATATTCACTTAACAGGGGAACCCTATAAATATCTCTTAAGAAATAAGTCCTACTGTCCAAAATAGGATTTACTTTTGTTTAAGTGGGTACATAATTACAACCAAAATTAACGTTGTTTCTTTGTGTTATGTGCCATCACATCTCCAGCTTATGGACATTCTATGAATGAATGTCATCCAAAATGTCCTGTCCTTCCCAGCCCTGCTCTGCTCTTGTAAACTCAAGGCTGTGGTTTCCTTTAGAGTATCAGTCCATCTCATATTTGGTCTTCCTTTTCTTTTTGAGCCTTCAACTTTCCCTAGCACAATTGTCTTGTCTAGTGAGACTTGCCTTCTCATGACGTGTTCCAAATACGACAGCTTCCATTTCATTGTTTTGCTTTCAAGGAAAATTCTGGTTGGACTTGATCTAGGACCCACTGGCTCATCTTTGTCCATCCAGGGTATTCACAAAGTTCTCCTCCAGCACCCTTTTTTCTTCCTGTCAGTTTCTTCCTGTCCAGCTTTTACAACCATACATAGTCATTTAAAATTAAATACCATGGATCTTGGCACTGTTGTCCAGTAAAACATCCTTGCACTTGAACTTTTCTAGTCTCTTCATTGCTGTCCTTTCAAGTCTCTGTCTTCTTGTAATTTCTTGGCTGAAGTCTCCATTTGAATGGATGACTAAGCCAAGGTATGCAAAATCTTTCACCTTTTCAATGTTTTTGTTGTTGACACTGAAGTTGGGTAATTCTTCTAATAGTCATGATTTTTGTTTTCTTAATATTCAACCACAGTCCTGCTTTTGTACTTTCTTTCACCTTCATCATGAGTAATTTCAATTCATTAATGCTTTAGGTCAGTAGGATGGTATTATCTGCATATCTTAAATTACTGATGTGCTTCCGCCAATGTTCACTTTTTCTGATCCCAACCCAGCTTTCCTTATAATATGTTCTGTGTACAGATTGTGCAGGGAGATATAATGCACCCTTGTTTTATGCTGTTGTGCATAGGAAACCATGCTGTTTCTCCAATGTTTTGTCTTCCTTGTCCATGGTACAGGTTATGCATCAGGACAATCAAGTGCTGAGGCACACCAGCTCCATTCAGGACCATCCATAGTTTCTCATGCACCACACAGTCAAAGGCTTTGCTTTAGTCTATAACTGATTTTCTTCTGAAATTCCTTGATGTACTTGAATAGGCATAGCATATTTGCAATATGATCTTGTGAGCCCTCTCCTTTTCAGAGTCTAGCTTGAACATCAGGCATTTCTTACTTCACATCTTTGCTGCAACACCTGGAACATCATTTTGCTGGCAGGGGAAGTTAGTGCAATGATCCTATAGCTACATTTTTGAATCTCCTTTTTTGGGGATTGGAATGTAGTTTGAAAATTTCCAGTCTGTGGACCATTAATTTGTTTTCCGTATTTGTTGACATATTCTTTTTAGGATTTAGACTGATTTAGCTTGGAATAGTTCCACTGGTACCCTATCTACTCCTGGTGCTTTGTTCCTTTCAAATGTTTTCAGAGCAGCTTTCAATTTGCTTTCTAGTATTGCAGGTTCTTCTGCACGGAATTCCTTTCCTAAGGAATCTGTTATCTTTTTACCTCTTCAGTATAGTTCCTTCTGTGTATTGTTTCCAGCTTCTCTTTTTCCCCTTCCTGGTCATACACTATGTTTTCCTTTTGTCTTTCAGCATTCCTAATCTACATTTGAACCTCCCTTTGATTTCTTCGATCTTCTGGAAGAGGGCTAGTGTTTTTCCTCTTTTGTTGTTCTCTTCTATTACTTTGTACTGGGCCTTGTAACAGTTCCTTTTGCCTCTATGTGATAGTCACTGAAAACTTGCATTGAAGATTCTGAACTCATTTCCGTCATCTTTTGCTTTTCATCTATCCTTAGCAATTATGAGAGTTTAGTCTGTCATCCATTTAGACCTTTTCTTTCTTTTTGCTACAGGAATTGCCTATTCGCATTCTTCCCTAATGTCTCTGGTTTCAATTAAATTCTGTTCTATATGTGGACTTTAAATTTCTCCGGAATGCTATTTAACTTGTATTTTGACACTATGCTTCTCTCAGAGATCTTTTTCGGGTTTACTTTTATATTGATATGCAGAGTTCATGGTTGGCACTACAGTCTACTTGTGGTCTTGCTTTCAATTAATTCTAATTGAAAACCTATTTGATTTCTGTACTGGCCATTTGCTGATATCCATGTGTACAGTTGTCCGTGCAGTTGCTTGGTGTATGTAAACAGATAGTTGGCTTCACAAAATTTTGAGTCATATTCCTGCTTTGTTTCTGACCCCTAAGCCACATCTCCCATAACAATGGATTCTGCTTTCTGGTATGTTATCAATTTTCTCTTGGACAATTTTCTCTTGCATAACATTTCTTCTTCTTTTGCATCTGTTATTGGCGCTCAGGCTTAAATTATGGTTATATTGATATGGCTTGCTCAGGTTGATATGGCTTGCTCAGATTTTGCCTTACAGCGCCATACTGCCTATGCTACATCTTGCATCAGAGTCACTAATAATACTAGAACTGTGAGGCACTCCATTTCTTCTGAGTTTGTCATTTCTGGACATTTTCTGTTTGTCTAATTGAAAATGTCCCATTCAAGTCCCATTCCAGTCTGCTCACATGAAGTATTGTAATTTTCAACCATTTTATTTCTTGCTTTACGGTTTCCAGTTTGCCTTGATTTATAGTTCTTATGGTCCATGTGGCAATTTTATGTGTGGTGCAGCATAGGACTTTCCTTTCATCTCTGTGCATGCATTCCTTTCAGCTTTAGTCTGGTTGCATTATTAGTTACAGTATTATTCATATGTGTTTGCTTTTCCCCAGTAGCTATTTGGGTGTCTCATCTTTGCTACTATCATTTGTTTCATCACAGGGCTTTCCAGGTAAGAAAATTCAGAAGGGGTTTATCATTGCCTTCTCTTGGCCATTATCAGAGTTGGCTTGGGAGTCACTGCCATTATCTTTGAAACATCCTGTAGCAGTGTCACCTTTCAGCTCCAGCTGTTACCCAGTAGCTGCCCTTCAGAAGTTTCTCTCCTACATCACCACTGTTAATTCTGAAGAAGGGGAATGCATCTTTGGCTGGTGTCTCAACTTTGAACATTCTGGCTTGGGTGAACCTGCTAGGAAACCAGCCTAGTGGTATTACTCTTGGTCTCTCTGACATTTTGAACCTCCCTCACCACTTTAAGGTGTGCATCTAAAAGGGGATGGTTGTTGTCCTCTAACAACTGAGTTATACAAACAACGGAAAAAAACAAACAAATAGGGAGTTTGGGTAAACAAAAACAAGCAACCCCCCAAACAGCCCCATTTTTATTCTGTCCTATTTCAAGAATTTCATTCTCATTCAAGTACTACAACTAGTGGATTATTCATATAGCATCATAGCACAATGTATATTATAGTAAATGGCATCAATATTATGTAAATAACTGCAAAAATATGTTTACTATTTTACTTATATAGATTAATACAGTGAATATATTCTCATTTTTTAAAAAATAAAACTGTTTCACTTCATTTATATGTTTGCATTGAGAACAATTGCTTCCTTTGAAGTACTCATAACTTGAAGTCTGCCCTGATTTCATCTACAGTTGTATGCAAAAATCAATTTGCACGTGTGTACGCACTGTTTGAATATTTTGAATACCACACTTATTGGAACCGCTTTCCACTGAAGAGCATCGCCTTGGGCACGAGGGCTAGTGCTTGACAGGAGCTGTAGTCCTAAGCATCAAGGGGTTAGTAGGTGCCTGCGTTGTAGGAGAGTTGCACAGTGATAAAGAAAGTCACATAAACCTGTCGCACAGTGACATAAACCTGCCCTTTTATGTGCGCAAACCTTGATGACACCGCGGAAGCAACAACTCGAAGTATTATCTTTCGCTAATATGAGCGAACATCTTCCTCTCACAATTGCAGGAGCGAGGCCATTACGCCAAGTACGGTTGCGCTGCCGGGGTGCATTATGGACGTTGTGGTTTTCCGGTGGCTTCGTGCAAGGGCGCCTGGTGCGGACAACACAGCAAATCCTATCTGTCCCTAGAGAAAGAAGGCGTCCTGCGCAGAAAGAAACGAGCTTAATCTTTAGCTCCGTTCCCGAATGAATCGGGGCATCGGCACGAGCCAGGTGGCGCCGAAGGCGGCATGTGGCGCAGACGGGAGCCTCTCGTCTCTCTCTACGGGGCGTTGGTAGCGGAAGGAAGGGGGCGGTCAGGAGCGCTGCGTAGAGGACACGTGCGAGACCCTACTACGCTCAGCGGCTGCGGTGCGATTAAGAGCGATAATATGACCGAGGAGGCGAAAAAGTTGGCTGCATATGCTGCAGTAAACAACCACGTGCAGGTGGGAACCTCTTTTTGCAAGTAAAGGTATTTTCCAACTGTCGATTCGGGGTTTTGTTTTCCTTCCCCTTTGTTTTCTTTTCCCCTTGTTTTTTTTGTTTGTGAAGTTCCGTGCACCTTCCGAAGGCCTTAGCAGTCTGGACAGCTGAGTGTGGTTGCACCTGGAATGTATATTGATCCCATGTCAAGTCTGAGGAAGAAGGCGGTTTGTTCTACGTGTTTTATATAGTAATTGAGAAAACTCCAAAGATTGGGCGGGTATTTAAACAGGTTATGTTCTTCATTTGGGAATTCAAAAAGCTTCCCATGAGTAGGTTTAGACTTCATAGAAACATAGAAATATAGAAAACAGAGCAAGTCAGAAGGGGTCTTCTGGGCCATCTTGTCTGGCCTCCAGCACCAGCCGGCTCCACCCACAGCATGCCCATAATGTGCACGTCCAGCCTATCCTTGAACACCCACACCGATGGGACCTCAACGACCTCTCGTGGAAGCCCATTCCACACCCTCGGGGTCCTGACTGTCAGGAAGTGCTTCCTGGCATCCAAATGGAACTTTGGCTCCCTGAGCTTTGCTCCATTGGAGCGTGTCCTGCCTTCCTCTGCAGGGGAGAACAGGTTTCTACCCATCTCCATGTGACATCCCCTCACATACCTGTATGTCGCCAACATATCCCCTCTGAGTCTCCTCTTCTCCAGACTGAAGAGACCCAGTTCCCTTTTTGTTGCTCTTGATATTCTTGGCAAGTCTCAGCTCGTAATCAGCCTTAGCCTTGCGAAGAATCCTTCTGCAATGGGCCTCCTCCTCCCGGTATACCTTTTTGTCTGTTTCCCCAGTACCCATTTCCTGCGGAGGTTCCTCTTTCGTCTAATCCCTCTAACCACCTCCTTTTGCATGCATGGCGGCACTCTCCTCCGCCTCCCCACCTTACTGACTAGAGGTATCATCAAGGCTTGCACCTCCAAAACCTCCCTTTTGAGTGCTATCCACCCCTCCTCAACTTGCTTACCTTCCAGTAATCTATCCCAGGAGACTTTCCCCAGTCTGGCCTTCAGTTGGCCAAAGTTGGCCCTCTTGAAGTCCCAGCTTCTAGTGCTTGACCTGCTTTACGTCCCCAGTCCCCTGATCTCAAAGCAAAGGATGGAGTGATCACTCGCATCCAGAGCTCCCCTAATCTGTACTTCATCTATCAGTTCCTTCCTATTGGTCAAGACCAAGTCAAGGATGTTTCCCCCCCTCGTCGCCTCTCAGACCCTCTGTGTGAAAAACCCTCCCTCTATAGCTTCTAGGAAGCAACGTGACCTGGCTGTCACCGCGAAGTGAGTCTCCCAAGTAATATCCGGGAGATTGAAATCTCCCATAATTACTGTGCCTCTCCTCTGAGATATCCTTAGAATCTGGCCTGTCAGGACATCATCCAGGGTCTCAAGTTGACCTGGAGGGCGATAGCATACCCCCACTGTCAGGTCTCTTTCCCTGTCAAAACCCTTAAGTTTCACCCAGACTGCCTCTACCGAATCCCCATCTGTGCTGCATTCTATCTCACTGCATTCTATCCCTTCCCTGATGTATAAAGCCACGCCCCCACCCCTCTTTCCCTTCCTGTTCTTTCTAAAAAGGTGATACCCTTCTATGTTCACATTCCAGACTTGCCTTTCATCCCACCAAGTTTCTGTGATACCCACCAGATGATATCCCTCTATTCCCAGGAGAGCTTCAAGCTCTTCCTGCTTATTACCCATGCTCCTAGCATTGGTGTATATGCACCTCAACTCCTTCCCACCTCTTCCCTTCCTTGGAGTTCCCAGCCTCCTCCTTCCTCCCATCCTCCCTGATACTTGGCCCCTCTCTGTAGGAGTCCTGTCAGTCCCTGCAGTATCTCTAAAACCCTGCTCCCAGAGCCCTGATCCTCTCTCCACCCTTGTCCAGTGCAGACACGTTACTGGAGGCCTGAACCCAGCCCCCTGGTCAGTTTAAAGTCTTCTGGACGAAGCTCGCTAGAGCATCTCCAAAGGACCTTTTCCCCATCCTTGTGAGGTGTAACCCGTCCCTTGCCAGAAGTCCATTGGCAAAAAAAAGAGTGCCGTGGTCAAGGAACCCGAAGCGCTCCTTCTGGCACCATACCCTAAGCCAGTCATTCACCTCGGAGACCCTCCTGTCCCTTCCTGGCCCAAATCCCCGGACCAGTAAGATTGACGAGAAGGCGACTTGGGCCTTCAGCTCCCTGAGTTTCTTCTCCAAGGCCTCAAAGTCCCTGGTGGTCCCAACCACACCCTGCCTGGCCACATCATTTCTGCCCACATGGATCACCAGGAGCTGCTGGTGACCCCCGGAGCGAACAAGATGCTCCACTCTGTCCTTTACATGCCAGATGCGTGCACCCAGCAGGCAGCAAACCTCCCTTGTCTCCAGGATGGGGCGGCACACTGCCGCCTCAGTGCCCCTAAGCAGGGAGTCCCCAACAACAATCACCCGCTGCTGTACCTTCCCGGTGCTGGTGGGCGGCCATGCCCTGGCACTCGACTCTCCTGCAGCGGCCCCTTGCTGCCTGACGTCCCAGGCTGGGGGTCCTGCTGATCCCCCGAGGCCTCATCAGCCCCAGCCCCCCCAAGTGGAGAGAACCTGTTTCCCAGCTCCAGATTGGTGCCAGGAGAAGGAGGAGGCTGTGCTGGCCTCCTCCTGTGGGTGACATACCTCCATGTCTCCGCAGCTGCTCCTCCCGTGGTCTCTCCCTCAACCCTCTGTCCAGAGGGGGGCAGCTCCCGGGGGTCCTGGAGAGCTCTCTCGGCCCTCAGGCACCTCGCCTCCTCTTCTAGCAGAGTCACCATCTTGCACCAAGGGCAAGTGTATCCCTGCCTCTCCTGGGGGAGAAGGGCGAACATGTCGCAGCTCTCACAGCGGACAGCAACACCCTTGACTCCCACCAAGCCCATCTCCTGGTCTGCCATCGGTATCCCTTCTGAGACCTTACCTTGGTCCCCTGCCTTGTTTGTCCTGCAGTTCCTCTCACTCTCCCAATTCTCTCAGACAAAAACCCACTCGCTCACACACACACAAGGATAAAATAAACTTAAATTTAAATTGGAAGAAAAACAAAGCACAGCACAAACAAAACAAAACAAACCAAACAAACAAACCAACCTCTGTGTCTCAGGGAAGGGAGTCTCCGGACAGCCCAGGCTGCAGCTAAGGGACGCAGACAAGGGACGACGCCCTTCCTCTCTGCTGCTCCTGGCCCTCTGCTCCCCTGCCCAGCTCCTACCTTGCCTTCGCCAGTCCCCTGGCCACTCAGCCCTCTCTCCCAGCCAGTGCCTCCGCTGCTCTGCCAAGAGGCTGGAGCCAAAAGGCTTCTTATTAAAGCAAGCAATTACTCAAAGCTTCAGTCATCTGGAGTCCCACTGAAATAGTTATTGGTATTAGAGTGTCAGTGATAAGGACAAGATTAATTTCCCATACTCATCTAACAGCTTATTACCGTACTATTCGTAATAACTAAATATGTAAGTGTATAAGCATATAACCTTACATATCGCTACTGTTTCTTCCTGAAGCAAAAGGACAAGCAGGACTAAATGTCTACCTCTTCTCATCCTTGTGATTTTAAAAGATGGGTTTAGTTTTTAAATTCAAAGCACATTTATCTATTTTTTCTGAAGTACTTAGCACAATTTTATATGAAGTATGTTTCTGCTTCCTTAAAAATTAGACCATAGAATCTATGGCACAGGTATTCATGGCTTTCTAAAAGTTGGCTTTATATGCTGTGTAGTAATTGTATGGCATAATTTTTGAGTTGATTGCAAAAATAAAATATTTGTGCTCCCTTATTTGTAGACTAATCAAGTCCTTGGAATTGGAAGTGGCTCTACCATTGTTCATGCTGTGCATAAGTTGGGTATGTATTTTCTCTGTTCCTTCTGTCGAAAATGGTGTTCCAGTTATGCAAAATGTTGTTTGCTCAGTGCAAGTATCCCTAGTCTGGCATAACTGCCAAGCAGCTAGGCTTAGTGCAGATAAGCCTGTGTAGGCCCAGTCTCTCTAGTCATGATGTATTGGGCATCTTTTTAAGGCATATATGTGTGAATTTGAGCATGTGTAGTCCAAAACCATTCCATTATTCTTTATGTGGATTAAATAATGCCTCAAATCATACAGTTGTTCTTGCCCTGTGTGTAACATGTGGGGTGGGGTGGGTCAAGAGATGAGTTAATAGGGAAGGAAGGGCACAATTTTTGTGCATCCAAATTGGTTTTAGAGGATTTGCAAGTTAAAAAAAAGTCTTTATATTGTAAACAGATTTCAATTTGAGGTATTAAATATTCTGACAGAATCTTATACTGTTACTTAAACTTGGTTTCTGGGGAGACCTCAAAGGTGGAGGGTAACATAATAGGAACAACCACTCCTTATCTTGTAGGGTTATTGGGATTTTTTAATGAACATTTTGATCCATTTTAAAATTAGAGGAATTGAATCCCTCTAGATCTCTTGGTTCCTCAAACCTTCCATTGCAAATGCCTTTGGCAGAGGAACTAACAATATGTTGGGAACATATATCCATTCTAGAAGCACTCTTTTGGGAATTACTTGGCATTCCAAGGCCAAAAGTTCTCATAAGCTTTTGAGAATATTTCCAATTAATCTTTAAAAAGTTAATATTTTATACAACCTTCCAAGGTGTTAGTTCAGTTATTAAAAGACCATTTTCAATTGCCGTTCTTTTAATGGTTTTTACCAAGGAGGCTTTCTTTGTAAGCATTTGTGTAAATTTGTTCCTTACCTGATAGTGATAAATGTGAATGTTGATAAAACAGGGTTGGGGAAAGATCTGTTACTAGAAGAAAGACAATGGATTCTAGCTTTTTCAGGATGGCTTTTGGATATAACACCCAGATTTTCCTATTATTCATTGTTGAAAATAATTGCCAATTATAATTATCACTTTGCTTCCAAGGTAAGTTTTTTCAACCTCTGATAATTTTGTACCGGTGAATTTGTTCACCAGTACAAAAATAATTCCTCTTGTGATAAGCACTTTAAATCAGACCATGTACTAAATTTGGCAGGGTAAGTGCTATACTGCTAACTGGACACAATTTTTATTTCATTTGCTGTTTAGAAATGGTATGTGCAATTAAAATTTTATTAAAGACAGACAGAGAAACTGCTTTCACACAGCAGGTATTATGAACTAGGAAGCCTTATTTTGTATTTAAAGACTAAACTCTGGCCAGGGCACTCTGCACTGGGACTGGGACTGGTGAAGAGGCTTGGGGACTGGTGGGAGAGAGGTCTGCTGTGCAGAGCTTTAAGACCTGCTGTTGCAACTGCCCCCTGCACCTCAGTGCCTTCCAGCTTTCCTCCTGGTTGCAGCATAGTCCATCAGGTCTGAGTGCCTGCACCCGGCTTTGCAATTTCAGCAGCTTTCTTCAGCATAAAAGCAGGCGTACTGCTGGATGGTGGGCCACCTGCCAGGGGGCAACACCAAAGGGGGCGCACCCCTTTACTATGCTCCTTTGGGATGCCATGAGGGTACCTTTCTGGTTGTTTCTCACCACCCCCTGCCTTTGTGGGACTATGCCTGGGGCCATGGCTGAGAGGGTGTCTATGGGACCAAGGCGGAGTTGGTGGGCGTCTCAGTTAGCATAGTGATGAGTAGAGGGAGCTATGACACTGGGGGGAGTAATGGCCAGGTAAGGGCAATGCAGCTCAGACTGTTAATGGGCTTGTTCTGTCCCTCATGCTATTTAACATCTACATGAAACCACTGAGTGGGGTCATCTGGAGTTTTGATGTGCACTGCCCTCAGACAACACACAGCTCTATTTCTCCTTTTCATCATTGGCAGGTGAGGCTGTGGATGTGCTAAACCAGGGCCTGGCTATAACAGTGGACTGGATGAGGACTAACAAACTGAAACTCAGTCCAAACAAGACTGAGATGTTGTTGTTGGGTGATTCCTTTGACTGAATGGGGGGGGTTTAACCCTTTTTAGATGGGGTTGAAGCCCCCCCCCCCCCCCCCGGAGCATATTTGTAACTTTAGGGTGCTCCTTGCTCCATCATTGTCACTTAAGGCTTAGGTAGCATCAGTAGCTCTGAGTTCCTTCCACCAGCTTCCCCTGGTGACCCAGCTGCACCTCTACCTGGACATGGATATTCAGGCTTCAGTGGCCTGTGCTCAGGCAGTCTCTAGATTAGATTACAGAAGTTCACTCTACATGGGAGTGCTCAGTAGCTGCAGTTGGTGCAGAATGCAGCACTCAGATTAATAAATGGGACCCAGAGGTCTGAACATATAAGATCAGTTCTGCACTGGCCACCTGCATGTTTCTAGTCCTAATTCAGGAGTCTCTCAGTTCTCTGGCAGAGGGATTTAAACCATTCTGAGAGCTCTGTGCTAATGAACGGGATATTAAAGCCTAAATACATGCATAAATATATACATACAATTCTGGTTTTAACCTAAAATGCCCAACAGAGCTTGGGACCACAATGCCTGTCAGAACGCCTCTCCCAGTTCCCATCTACTTGGACCTTACACTCCAGCCCTGGGGCCTTCCTCCAGGTGTCAACCCCTTGAGAGGTTTGGAGGGCAACAACTAGGGGGAGGACCTTTTCTTTGTTGGCCCCCCATCTCACTGCTGTGTCCTACCTGACACCAAATTTGCCATCTTTTTGGCATCAGGTTAAGACAACCTTCTTTGTGGAGGCCTTTAAAGACTTCCCTGGTCATTCAGGGGCCTGAAAAAATTAGGTGCCCTTTTTCATTCTTGACTTGTGCCATTTTAGTTGATTTTTAATGTTTTATATATATTTTATTGTTTTTATACTTGGTTGTAAACTGCCCAGAAAGCTTTGGTATGGAAATGAAATGATGATGACGACGACGATGGAATTGCAAGTGAAATTAAGCCCAATATTTGTAATATTTTAAATGGACTATTTTAAGCATGGATGTTCTAATACTAAATTTTTTCTTGGATGATACTTGTTGGACTGAGTATATATTAAACCCAGTAATCTCTCCTCACAGCTGAGAAAGTGAAGCAAGAGAATCTCAGCATAGTGTGTGTACCAACATCTTTTCAGGTAAAGTCTTCCTCTTCTATCTCTGTTTTTAATCAATTTCTTGACCATTAACTGGCAGTTACCAATTTGTTAGCAGTTGTATTAAGAGAGTTTATTTGCAGGAGATTATCCTGAGTGGATTCATCTCAGTACAGATCTTCCTGGGAAAATCTTTGCTTTGCTTTGTTAATGCCCCTTCACAGGAACCACAGGGATACTGTCTTCCCAGGAATTACTTGCAAATAAGTATGGGAGCAGGTTGGAAGTTTGTTTTTCTTCTCACTTATTGGCCCTGTACTGTTCCTGGTGGCTCCAACTGAAATTACAGAGCTCCATAAGTGAATGTGAAAGAGGAGTGTTCTGAGGTACAGTGGCTCTGCTAGTTGCAGTCCTAATGATCATTGAATTGTGTGTAAAACCCATGTCCAGTTCATTACATGATGCACCAATGTATTTTAGACAATGTTGGTTTGGATATGCAGAAGCTTGCCTATATAGCCATCTTGTGGGTTCCTTGTAGGATTGAAGGGTTGAGCAGAAATAAAAGGAAGTATAGTTAAGCTGTGGAATTCAGGACCACCAGATGTAGTGATGGCCACCAATTTGGATGGACACAGCTATTAATGACTGCTTGTCATTAAGACTGTGTGCTGCTTCCAGTATCAGAGACTTTCTATATCTCTGGACACCAGCTACTGGGAGAACATGAGTCGCTGCATGCAGATCTCCCATGGACAGTTGGTTGGCTACTGAACAGACACAGCTGTTGGTTAGATGAACTCTTTATCTGATCTTCTTATGTTGTTTCTTAAATAAAACTTCTTTATGTTTTATTTATTTCTTAAATAAAACTTCTTTATGCATAAGTACACTGGTGTTGTGGTCCTTTGAAAGTAAACACATGGTGATACAGAATACGGCATTTTGATAATATGTCAGTTTTAAAACTGGAAACTGTTTAACGTTATAAGGTAGATTTGACCCTTTCATATGTCAAATGAAGGTGCAAAACTTAAGGGTGTAGTCCTATGGCTGCCTGATGAAGTCTGGGAGGGCATGAGAATTATTCGGAGCCCTGGCTCCAAGATTCGCCAACCTCAGAGCTGGGGCTCTGAATATGGAGCCCCCACCTCACCCCCTGGCAGCTGTTGCGAAAGGAACCATGCTGGCTGAATCTTTAAGGATAGAAATTGACCTCAGAGAGGGCCAGTCTCAGGAGGGGACTGGGTTGACAGTTTACATGGTATCCAAGCAGCACCTCAGCCTCCTTCCCTTCCTGTTTGCAATACCTCATCAAAACAACAGAACACAGCCATCTAGATGAAATACATTGTATCAGGCAGTAAAAATTGCTGCTGCAGCTTGTCATCATTGTTATATTGCATTTATAGCCCATCTTTTATTCTCTTGTGTGAGACCCAAAGTGTCTTGCATGGTTCTTCCCCACTCCATTTTATCCTAAGAAGAAGAAGAGAAAGTTAGGCTGAAAGTGAGTGACTGGCACAAAATAACCCAGGGAGCACCATGGATGAATGGGGACTAAAACCCAGATTTTCTGAGTCCCAGTCCAGCACTCTACCACCACCACACTGGCTGTCTATATGAGCTACCTGACAAAAAAAGTCAGTTCTGAAATGTGGATGTGGTTATATTGCAAAGGAAGGAATGAAGTCTTCTGCATCAGCTGTGTGTATATGAGGTGTGTCCAGAAAGAAATGGGAATGAAGTCCCTATACTCAAGAAGGGCTCGGTGAAGGGAGAAGCTGGCCCAGGTCACTTGGGGTGGGGTGCCAGGTATATGTTAGAACACTGCTCAGTTGCATTCCAGCCCTGTCAGAGTCATTTTTTTTTTTGTGACACCCTATTCAAGTGGCTCGTACTAAGAAAAATACAAGCAAGTTTGGAATAGCAGTACACAATAAAATTGTGTGAAATTGGATAAAATTGAGCCCTTGCACCCCTTAAGATCTGCAGGAGAGGCTCTGCTCTGGGAACCCTTATTGAAAGAGGTAAGGATGGTCTGCACCTGGAGGAGGGCCTTTTCTGTGGTGGTGCCCAGACTATGGAATGCAATCCCCAGAAAGTTTCACCTGGTGCCGACTTTGTATTCTTTTCGGCTCCAGGTGAAAACCTTTTTATTTGCCCTCCATTTTAAATGTTAGGAATTTTACTCTGGTTTTATCTATTTCACGGTCGCATTTTGATTTTGATTCTGCTTCTGTTTTGCTTTAGTTTTTATTTGTGAAATGTTATTGTTGGTTTTATGCATATTTTAATTATTATTAATTGTTGGATTGTTTGTTTTGTTCTTTGTAAACTGCCCTGAGACTCTTTTGCATATAGGGCAGGGTATAACTATTTTAAATAAATACATGCGCATCAGAAATTTTGGAAATGGTGAAGAACGCTTCTGGAGAAGCTGCGCTATCATCTGCACGAGTGTACGGAGGGCACAAGTTGGGACTGGCTGATCCTTCATCACGATAATGCACCGAGTCACAGTGCTTTGGCTGCCAGAGAGTTTTTGGCTGAGAAACACATCATGGTGCTTCCCCATCCACCCTACACCTCCGACTTGGCTCCTTGCGACTTTTTCATCTTCCCAAAGATGAACAGTGGTTTGAAAGGAGACCATTTTGGTAGTGTGGATAACGTCCAAAGAGCCACTATGCAGGCTCTGAACACCATCCCACTTAGAGACTTCCAGGGATGCTGTGAGGAATGGAAAAATCACTGGGAGTGTTGTGTACACTCACAAGGGGCATACTTTGAAGGAGACAATGTTCAATTATAAAATGTTTTAATAAAAGAATTTTAAAAATACCATTCTTATTAATTTCTAGACACACCAGAAAGGTGCATCTAAGGATACCTGCAGTATAGGAATTATTCCAAGGCATTATTCAGTTTTTTGGGATTGTGAATGTTACTGTAAACAGCCAGTTAATGATATTACCAGTTAACTAGCGGCACTTTCTCAAAAGCTTTCTCTGTATAAATAAATAAAAAATAAAGCTTTCTTCCTCTTCTTGACCCATTCAATTGCATCAGTCACAAAATGTATTTTATCTTTCATATTCCTTCTAGGGGCAAATCCAGTTTGATCTTTGTGAATCTGTTTTCTATACATTTTCTTAATCTCTCTGCCATTATTGAAGTAAAGATAAAGCAGCAGCTCCTAATGAATTTACCTGTTCTTCCAGCCATATTATCTCCAATGGATTATGATCAGAATGTATATTGGGTTGAATCTTTACAGCCTCTAAATTCATAATTAAATTCTTAGATATCCAGCATATATCAATCCTTGAATATGTCTGATGTCTGTCAGAAAAAGGTGTAATCTCTAATTGATTGGAGCATAAATCAATGCCAATGTATTTATTTTCCCATTCAAAAATCTAATCTTCATAACAATCTTCCTTCCAGGTGTTTACATTCTTCTACCATGTTTTAGTCCTCAGTTATTAATATAAATTGTGACTCCTTTTTGGCGGCGAGGGGGAGGGTATCTGCTGGGGCTGCATAAAGTTTCTCAGCTACTTACAGTACAGAATATGATTTTTTTTCTTTATATGAGTTTATTGAATATGTATCTGCCCTCTGCTTTCTTAAAAAAATTAAAACTTTAATTCACTTAGAGAATGCAACCCATTAATGCTGGTAGTTAAATCATTGTTTTGCCTCTATTATTCAGTTTAAAGAGCTCAAACAATTTGAAATTGGTCAAACAATCTCCAATATATAAATCGGCATTTGCTTGCCAGTTAATTCTTCTCTCCTCTCCTCCTCCTCCACACATCCAGCTTCCACATTCCTCCATCACTCTAGGTAAACTCACAATTTAACAACTCCCCAAAGCAGAAAAGTTAAGGGAGGAGAAGTCAAAAGGGCTTTTAAAAAGAGAGAGAACAAGAGAGAAAGTGAAAGGATAGAAGCAAGAAGCAGAAATAGATAAAATCAATCAGACTCCTACAATGTTTTACTTAGTTGAGGTTAGTTTGTTAAAAGAGCCATTGTTAAAAGATGACTTCCATATCCGGATCCTGGCTTCTATTATTCCAAATCCAGCAGGTGGCATTGGTGGTATTCAGGTCAATTTATGCCTTCATAGATTATTTGTTAAAGAGAGACATTGTTCAAACATTGTTTTCATAGTGGAGGCTTTAGCTTCCATTTTTCTTCAAGTCCAACAGGTGGCACTGATAGTCTCCAACTCATTTTGGCACTGCCTCACATCTTTGTTCTCACCTCAGAGCCAGAAGCAAAAGAGATCAAAGAGATCAGGAAAATTACAGCCTCCCCAAATCCCACCTCTGAATCAAAGCTATCAGGGAGGTATAGTTGCCTCAAGGTATAGTTGCCTTTGCAGCAAGTCTGTCTGTCTCTCTCTCTCTCTCTCTCTCTCTCTCTCTCTCTCTCTCTCTCTCTCTCTCTCTCTCTCTCTCTCTCTTACACACACACACACACACACACACACACACACACGAGAATGCAAAAGCAGCAACCGAAAATCTCCCAAAGCAGCCAGCAACTCCCTCAGAAAATGGTGATGGGGAAAAAAAGAGACAGCTGTCTCTTCCATCATACCAAAGCCTCAGTCAAGGTCAGTTTGCAATGTTTATAATTAATTTCTTGAATGATATCAGACAGTTTTGCAAATTAAGGTCTTATTACAGTTCAAACAAAGCATTGAGAAAATACCCGTTTTAAAGTCCTTTCTGAATACATAAACAGAAATGCCTTAAAAAAAAAAAAAAAAAAGAATCTCAGCCTCAAGCCTGAGCTGTCCAGAGAGCACAATTATCCTTCCCCTCAATTAAAGAGCCACAAAATGAGCATGAATATACCCCCTGCTGTATTCACATGCTACGGTCCATTTATACACTATCCATTATTTCTTAGTTCTAAAATAGAAACATTGGACAGCTTTGCAAGTAAGACATCATTAATCTTCTGATTATCTGTTTCAGAGTACCTCCAAAATATGCAAACAAAAATGCCTTAGAAGTCTAAATTACAGCAAGTTAAAATATTATTCCCTTGGCAATAAAATAAAGTAAAAATAAGCAATATAAAATAGAATGGTAAGAGGGAGAAAAGGAAAAGAAAACAAAATATATGTGGGGAAGGCTGGCCCTGTAACTTATTCCATTTTACCTTATCCAGCCATCTCATTTTTATTAGATCTGTAGACCAAAACTCTTCAGGCCCACCTGCCAATTAGAGAGGTAAAGAACCTTTCAAGAGATTATTTATAACCATATGTAATGAGATAAGGAGCAGAGTGGTGAATGGTGCTGCTGTTCGAGTCCCCATCTCCCTTGAAGTCCCCTGCAAAATTGTTTATATAGCTTTCCACATATGCACATATTTAAGTGTTTCTATGGTTGAAAACTGCAGTAACATTTTCCTTCAACTAAGGGCAGTATTTCCTAATCAGCACATAGTTTTGCTGCCCATTCCATTTGAAAACCCAGCAGAGTGGCTCAGTGACTTAGAGTCTCAACAAGTGTGCATTCCAAAAAAACAACATTGTAGCACTTGCCAAAGCTAACATTGAGGGTGGGAAGTACTCCTAGTAACAGAATCTTTGTGGGTTTCTTGGAGTACTAACATGGCACTGAGCTGTCTTCACTTTTCCAAGTGTACATAATTCAGGACCTTGAGGGCCCCTCCTTAAAAAAGCCAAGTTCCAGCCCAAAAGGGTGTTTTGGAGCACATCATCTCTATTTCCCCACCCTCCAAACAGGATCCCTGGAGTTTCTAGGGATCACTCAGCAATTCCAAGGATCCTCTCCATTTTGCAATTGATCCCATTTTGCACCTTGAGGAGCAGCAAAATATAAAAGGAATCCTGAGGGGTGAAGGAGATAGCTTTGCTGGTTCCCCACATGATAAGCAGTAGGTGTATCCTTCAAAAACTGCATAGCAACTATGGACATCGTGCTGTGGAGAGGCGGGGGAAGAATCTCTCTGCAAAGCCTAATCTTGCTTTGCAAGGATCTCTCCAGCTGACCTATCAAATTTGACAGGTGCTTGCAAACTGGGGGGAGTGGGAAATATACATACCTGCAGCCTGTGCTAAGTATCACAGAAGGTGGCTGATTGTTGGTTTGAGTTAGCAGGCACCCTTCCTAGTCAATGGGTACTGCAGGATAGCTACTTTTTAACCACACTGGTTCCATTTGTGAAAGCAAGTCATGTTGGACATACATATGGGTGCAGGGGAGATTGCACACTTATTTTCACACATAATTACATAAAAATATTTTAAAGAGGGCAGCCCCTCCGAGCTACCACTGCAGCATTTGTGGAAGAGCAGCTTACAGTCCAAAATGAGAATTATGAAAATCACTTTGAGAGGTGGGTGTCACAATCTCCAAAAAATGATTTGAAAGCAGGGAAGCAAGCCATGGTCTGACTGAAATGGCTTGCAGTAGTTCAGGGGATGCAGAGATTCCTTTGCCAGCTTCCCTCAAGTACTGCTTCAGTATTTCTGCAGCAGCTGCCCATGGCAGTGACCCACTAGCTGCTTGGTTAGAAGAGCAAGCCGTTCTTGGGCTGCACCTTGACTTTTTCTGCCATCCTGGTTTGGACAACACAGCAAGCCCAGGGGTGGCTACAAACCCCCACAACGTGCCATGACTTGTTGGACTGGCTTTGTAGCCACAATGAAGCCACTCTGTGGGAAGTATGATGGGCTCAGACAATGCCATAAGTCCCTATGGCTCTGAAGACTCCATGGCTTAATGTAGTGTGCAAACCCAGTTGCGATAAGTCAAGCTGTGAACATAGCTTTGGTTGCAGATTCAGTTGCTTCATTTTTCCCCTTTTTGCCCAAAATGAAAACAAGCCAGAATATCTTAACTGTAGTTCCCAAGTCCAGGAAATATTATTAGTATTACTTAAAACTTTTATATGCCATCCTCAATGCATGGCACCTCAGGACAGCTTACAAACATTAAAATCAAAAATAAACTATACAAATATAAAACAATATACAGCCAATAAAAATAAATTAATTCAAGGGCGACTGTTTAAAACTATTAAAATACTACTTTTTTTAAAATGACACTTAAAAGGTTTTTAGTATGACATGGTTTGTTATATGACTATGACAAATGGTTTCTTTAAAGATCAGGATATAAAGCTAAGCGTTATCTTAATATCCTGGCTTGTTTGGAAGCTTAGTTTCTGTAGACTTCTTGACTTGTGTTTGGATTGTCCAAATGGAGGAACAATAGTGCTCATTCATAATCATTATTTATCATGCCCTAAGGTTTTTTTCCCCCCTGAACTTGGCCAGGGTAATTGCTTGGCAGAGTATCTAAAGAAATTCCATTGTTTCCTAATCTCCTAGACTCTGCTTGCATAGCAGGTTATATTTCACCCCTTCTAAGCAAGCATGCCTTTATGAATCCTGTGATGCTAATCTTAGGCAATTTTAATAACATTAAAATCCATTATTTCAAACTTTAAAATCTTTCACATTTTGTTGAAAGCCAGGTTGGGTTTCAGTGAGGATAAAATGGCTGCACTGATTTGAGAGTCTTCTTTCAGAAGAAGCTGTCTTCTGCTGAGTGAACCTGTTGACCCTCCTGTTGACACTCGCAGCGGCTTTTGGAGGTTCTAGGCTGACATTCTCTTAGCCCTACTTGGAGATACTGAAGGTTGCACCTTAGATCTTCAGTATGCAAAGCATGTGAGCTATAGCTCTGCTCCTTAGCTATAGCCTTACCTTGCTGGTTTGACATCATAGGTGCTGCTGCTTCTGAGACAACCCACAGAACATAATGGATGGTATACCCTCCTGACTTGATAAGAAATGTAAAAATTTGAGGATCCCAAAACTTGAGTGCTTTTTTCATTGTGAGGAAAGGGAGACTTGCTTATTTTGCTCTTTTTTTGGATCAGAAAACATTTGCTTCTTCCAAAAGATTAATATTTACTCCAGTATAGTGTAGTTTCTTAAACTTATATTATTGGGTCCTGCTACTGATAAATATATTGAAATTACTCTGTCTAGCATACCTTTTTAAACCTTAAGACACAATCTTGTTTTTCAATTTCTCTGTAGGCACGTCAATTGATCCTGCAGAATGGCTTAATCTTGGGTGACCTTGATAGACACCCTGAGGTAAGAGGGTTGGATATATATTCATACAGACTGAATTCTGAGTTGGGATGGGCTTCCCTCTGTTGTGTAGGTAGTAGTTAAACCTCAGTGCATACATGCCTTACCTAGCTTTATATAATAGATTAGTAGGTTGAGCGTCCTCCATGTGAATTCATTAGAGGGGCCTCTGTGTAATCAGGCATTTGCAAGCTGATACAGTGTTGTCTGCAATGCAGCACTAGTTCAATCTGAAACAAGTTGTGACTTGGGTGAGTCCCAATGCATAAGGGATGCTTAAGTAACCTGTATCCAAAGGTAAACTCATAGTAGTTGCTATGCGTCTTATTCTCCTAGTAGTTTGTGTGTGTGTGGGTAGGTGGGGGGTTATCACTCATAACTTCAGTACTCCAGATGTAATAACTCCAAACTCATTGTGTAAACTGTCTTCATGGAAAGGCAATGTGCTTGAGTTGGCATTGCCATCTGTGGTGGTGAGCTATCCCATGTTTTCTGTCTGGTCTTCTTCCCCTCCTTCGAAGCAGATGAGGACAAAGACTTTCTAACTTAGTCTTTCTTATGTTGCAGCAGACCCAAGTAAGCTGTCTTTGAGTATTGCAGAAATCAATATGAAAATAAGCAAGCAAAGTTATAATATTGGTCATTAAGAAAATGGAGCTTAATGATGAGAAACTGCTTCTTAATGTCTCTCCTTCCTTCCAAACTGAAATGGCTGGATCATTTCAAGGTGATTGTGGTGCTTATGGGCCAATCACCTAGAGCAGGGGTCGGCAACCTTTAACACTCAGAGCCATTTGGACCCATTTCCCACAGAAAAGAAAACATCAGGAGCTGCAAAACCCTTTTGACATCTAAAATGAAGATAACACTGCATATATCGTTTTTTACCTTTATGCTGTGTATAAAAAAACTATAGTGTGTTGCATTTATGAAATCAATGAACTGCTACAGAGAAAACAAATTTCTATTTCTGCATGCAACAAAAACATTTTGAACTCCGAAAAAAAGAGGCTGGGTTGAAGGTTACTTTCAAATAAAATACTCAATATCTATTTGAGACCTCGTATTTATAAATTAAAAAGCCAGACTTAAATTATCCACCTGCAGCAAACCAAAAATGCTGTCTGCTCCTGTGTGCCCTCATCCTTTTATCATGTATACTGGAGGGTGCAGTCAGCTGTCAATCTGAATAAAAAAAGGACTAATTGATACTTTCATACACAGTAAGTCGAGTTTCTGCAATACAACAAATATAAATAATAGTCTGGTGAAATATTGAACAAACATCCCTCTCCCAGTGTGATAATGTTGCTGGAATTTTTATAAGAATCTTCTTAAAACAAGGAAGTAGATCTATATCTTCATTATGATTTAGCTGCAGCTCTTGTTCAGTCACTAAAAACTGTTATTTTTAATCTTACATTATAAAATAGTAGGACTCCTTTCATATATTTTGAATAGGAGAACAGCTTCCTGCAGAGTTAAAGTCAGTGCTAAAGGGCTCCATGCATTAAACAGCAAAGCCCATAAGTTCATCAGCAGTAAAAGCAAATGAATCTACCCATGTACCATTAAACCTTCGGTTTTCTTCAGAAACTTTTCTTCAATTTATCCATGGATGGCCTACGGGGGCGGGGGGGGGGGGAGCTCAGTAAATCCGTGTGGATCGCAGATTGCCGGCTGCCTGCGCAAGTCGCAGATATAGGTGTGTTTAGTGACTTATTAGCAGATAAACAGTCAAGTGATGTGAATTGTGACAGGTCCCAAGCACAGCTTTTAACATTCAGAAGGAGAATACATTCAGACAAAGAGACTCTTTTCAACAGCGTTTAGTGTAACATGAGAGCCTGCAGGAAGCTTGTTCCACTCTTTCCCTGCACAATAGCAGAGGAATGTAGTGATTTACTTAATCAGCTAGTGCAGCATTCCTGAGTATTTTGAACAACGGGAGCCGCAGCACAGGGATTCAAGAGCCTCTGGAGCTGTGGGTTGCCGACCCCTGACCTAGAGCATCTGACATTTCTTATTTGGTGTGCCCTCTTAATCTTACGCCATATTAATGATGTTGGGTTCACCCCTCCCATATGTGCTTGCTCGCTAAATGTTCCCACAGAGGTTGAAACTATTTGATTCACTAGCCTATGTGTATTGATACCCAGCAGATGGCCGTTTGAATTCAGTTGAATTCGGGTTATTAGTTGTTTTCCCAAAGCAGGAAGATTTTGGAAAGCAGTGGCAGTAGAAGTATTTCTGAAAGGAGACTTGTAGGTACAAATCTGTCAAGCTTTAAAGCATCTGATTGGTGAAGTGTCCATGCAGTCTATGACCTGCCTTTAAGTAGCGCTGCACAAATAGAACATGTAACCTTTGTTCCCCTGATGTCTTGCTAAAATGCCAGCTGTTGGTATGCCCTGCTCTCTCTCTCTTCTTTTCCTCTGTGACTCTCAGCATAGCAGTTCACAAATGGTATGGTGTGCTGTAAGAGCACAGTTAGTTTTCCACAGGACATTAATGAGACTCCTGTTAGCCCCGGGTCCCCTTCTGCAGCACAGACTGCCTTTTGTGTGTCTGCTTGACTTACTGAACAAGCTTGCCTGGTTCCAGTTAGCAAGCAGAAAGACAGCACACAAACACCTCTGAACATGGAGCAGTTCTTGCTCTTGTACACTTTGTACAAGTTCTTTTCTTGGTGTAAATAGAATGTACCTCTGAAAACTCCTCCAGAATTGGGGGCTTGTGAAATGTTGCCGTTAAGAATTCTAGGGATTCTTCAGTTGTGATACTGTATTTTTGCTGTGATACAGTTCTTGGCATGCTGTTTTATTTCATATCTTGTTTTCTAAAGTCTGTACCCTGATAATTGTAAGCTACTTTGGGCAGAGTTCTTTGTGGAAAAGCAGCACAAAAAGTTAAACTGAACTGAAAAGGCCTGTTCCCTGGTCATTACACACCTGGAGTCAGTGGGTGAGAGAACCCTGAGGAAGACATTGCCAAATTAACCTTAAACAAGGCAGGTTTGTACAGCAACAGGTGGTACCTAAGATAACTTCAGGTCCCAAGTACTATAGACCTTAGAAGCTTCGCATCAGGACCTTGAATTGTGCTGATGTGACTGGAAAAATTATGAAACATTTCCAGCAGTGGTAAAATGTGAACCATGTGGTTCAGCATTCCCCAATCCATTGGAAATCTAACTCCTGTTTTTCCCACAAGCATGGAAACACATTTGGAGGACACGAGGCTGGGAAAGGCAAATCTAAAGTACTAGACATAGTCTTTCTTCATTTTCTCATAATAGTGGTTTGGCACAGTTCTTTTAACTAATTTTCTGAGTGCAGTCCATCATAATATTGCAGCTGTTTTCACTGAATTTTGGGGGGGGGGGTTACTACTAAATTGTATTAATAGGTTTATGACTGCATAATAATACAGTAGTAAAGTTGGAAGGGGCCAGAGGGTCCTGCTTAGTGGCTGTCCAGTTGCAGCTTGAATGCCCCTAGTAATTGGTTCCATTTTCATACTGCTCTAACCTCAGGAGATTTTTCCTGATATCTAGAGGGAATTTGGCTTCTGTTGCTTGAACCCATTACTCTGTGTCCTACACTCTGGGGTGATTGAGAAGAGATCCTGACTTTTCTCTTTGTGACAACCGTTCAAATACTTGTAAAGTGCTATCATATTTTCATTCAGTCTTCTCTTCTCAAGGCTAAACATGCCCAGCTCTTTTATAGGGCTTTGTTTCCAGTCCCCAGATCATCCTTCTAGTCCTCCTATGAACCCTTTCCAGCTCATCTGCATCTTTCTTCTACTGTGGTGCCCAGAACTGGACACAGTACACCAGATCAGGCCTAACCAGGCTGCTGAGAAAAGGAAAACTAAGTACTTCAGCACATTTGGAAGTGATACTTATATTAATGCAGTCTAAAAAAGCATTTGCTCTTTTTGGATCCATATCACATTGTTGACTCATAGTCAGCTGGTGATCTACAACAATTCCAAGAACTTTTTCACTTGTAGTATTGTTGAGTCAAGTATTTCCCATTTTATAACAGTGCATTTAGATTATTTGTCCTAGGTGTAGGAGAACTTGGCATTTGTCCTGTAGTTTTTAGCCCAGCATTCCAACCTATCAAGGTCATCTTGAATCTTATTTCTTTTCTTCCAGGGTATTAGCTATCCCACCCAGTTATGTTATCTGCACATCTGGTAATTGTTCCCTGCAGTTCCGCATCCAAGTCAAAAATGAAAATGTAGAAGAGCACTAGGCCCAGGACTGAATCCTGCGGTACCACCCTTGTCACATCTCTCACTTCTCCTCAGTTGGAGCAGGTGCTATTGATGAGGAATGTTTGAATCCTATTCTGTAGCCAATTGTGGATCCACCTGTTGATTGTTCCATTTAGCCCACTTTTAAGTACTTTGCTAAAATAACTATCATCCTAAAATAGTTTTGTGCTTAAATAATAAGATATATAAATGCTATAACACTGATTTTCTTCTTGTGTAGCTACATATTGCCATTGATGGAGCAGATGAAGTTGACCTGGACCTCAATCTTATCAAAGGAGGAGGGTAGGAAATAATGTATTTTTAGATTAAATACTGAGGACAAAGTGGAAAATCTGGATAAAATAACAGCAGTACTGCCAGAAATGTGAAGGCTGCAATCTGTAATCTGTAAGCTTATCAATTAAAGCTTGGATCCAGATTTAGTCATGTGCAACTGATCTGGCTCAAGTGGACTTCCCCATTCTCTCATCCCTATAGCAGCCCTTCCTGCTCCTTGTGTGTTGGGGACCCTGCTGGATGGGGTGAGAAACTGTGAGCTGTGGTGTGAGTGAGAAACCCCCAGATTGGTGTTTGACACCTTCCACAAATCAAGTCCTTCTGTCCAAGGAAGACAGATCCTTTTTCCAGCCTAAAGTGGTGGAAACAAATTAATTGATGCTGCAAGTTAAAGACAAGCATTTGTTTTGATTTTTGAAATTGCTTTGGTTCTGTTGCGTTCCTGTAATTGTGGATGAAAGATAGAAGACGAAAGATAGACTTTTCCTTATGTGTACAAGTTGTGCTTAATTAAATTGTGAGGTGTTTTTCTTTTCAAAGATACCACTGTTGAAATTTGGGGGAATATGTAGATGAATCACATCTACATTGGCCTGTTGAACCCAATTTATTCTAAGGTGTGGCAACTCACCAGATTTTCAGGCAGAGGTCTGACACAAAGTTAGGTGTGCAGGGTCTTGTGGGGTAGGGAGATAGAGCTGCTTTCCCACAGACTTGTAAAGCTTCTAAGCTAATTGGAAAAGGCCAGTTGACTTTTACAAAAAAGAGACCCTTAAAATGCCCCCAAAGCTTTTGATTGTGATATTTTAAAAAATGATGTATTTTTAGAATTCTGAAATCTGTTTTTTCATCCACTGGTAAGTGGAATCCAGTATAGAATATTACTACTTTTTGCTTTAAAATGTAAGAGATAGTTTTCTACAGGCAACTTCAAATGCCTTTATTCAGGAACGGAATTCTTGAAATTTGCACATATATATATAAAGTATAATACTACAGTTCCTAGTGCAGCCCTCCTTAGCCTGATACCTGCCAGACATTTTGAACTTTCGCTCCCAGCAGCCCCAAGCACCATGGCTAGGGAACAGGGATTCGGAGAGCAATCCAGAAAGAACATCAGGAGAGCACTAAGTTTGGGAAGCTGTCCTGGAGGTACTGCCTGTGCCAGCCCCGTGCACGGCCTGCTCACTCATCTACTCTTGACTTCAGTGGAAGGTTTGTTCCCTGTCAATGCAGAAATGCAACCAAAGTTCCTTGGAGCATAAACGGACCTCAACCTTTTCAGCACCAGGGACCAGTTTCGTTGGAAGACAATTTTTCCATGGACTGGGGTAGGGGGATGGTTTCATGATGATTTAAGTGCATTACATGTATTGTTCACTTTATTTCATTATATATTACATTGTAATATATAATGAAATAATTATGCAACTCACTGCCTCAGCTCCACCTCAGATCATCAGGCATTAGATTCTCATAAGGATCCTTTGCACATGCAGTTTACAGTAGGGTTCTCACTCTTATAGGAAAAACTGGATAGGACTGCCCTGCCTGCTCACCTTAATCTGCCTGCTCCCATTTGTCTAAGGCTCAGTCATTCCACGTTTTTTATTGGAGTGCCTGCCCTGTGCCCGAGCCGCAGTTCACATGTGCTGTTGGTTGAGGGGCAGCTCGTATTGACATCTCACTTGGAGAAACAAGGTGTCTGTCAGAGGAACTTGAGCTAGTTCGAAAAAGACTGATTTGTTTGGTCAGAGCACTCTTGATGCCCCACCTTTTTCTCTTGTGCTTTGGTGCTACGGCAACCCACAAGTGAAAGGAGGAGGGGAATTGTGGAAATGACGCCCACAGATGAAGCTTCGCTTGCTCACCTGCCAGTCACCTCCTGGTGTGCAGCCCAGTTCTAACAGGCAATGGACTGGTGCTGGTCCACAGCTTGGGGGCTGGGGACCTCGATGTAGAAACATAGAAACAGAGCGAGTCAGAAGGGGTCTCCCGGGCCATCTAATCTGATCCCCGGCTCCAGCCGGCTCTGCTCATGGCATGCCCACCATGTGCATGTCCAGCCTATCCTTGAACACCCTCACCAATGGGCCCTCAACGACCTCCCGTGGAAGCCCATTCCACACCCTCGGGGTCCTGACTGTCAGGAAGTGCTTCCTGGCATCCAAAGGAACCTTGGCTCCCTGAGCTTTGCTCGTTGGAGCGCGTCCTGCCTTCCTCTGCAGGGGAGAACAGGTCTCTACCCACCTCCATGTGACATCCCCTCACATACCTGTATGTCACCAACATGTCCCCTCTGAGTCTCCTCCAGGCTGAAGAGACCCAGTTCCCTCAGTCTCGCCTCATACGGCATCCCCTGCAAACCAACCACCAACCTTGTGGCCCTACGCTGCACTGACTCCAACCTGGCTATATCCTTTCTGTAATGAGGGGCCCAAAACTGAGCACAATACTCCATTTGCGGGCGCACCAGAGTCGTATAGAGTGGTAGTAATACCTCTCTCAATCTAGAAGCCACACTTCTGGCTATGCAACCAAGGGTGGTGTTCGCCCTCTTGACCACCACATCACACTGCTGACTCATGTTTAGCCTGCAGTCAACCAGTACCCTGAGGTCCCTTTCACAAGTGCTGCTCTCCAGACACTTGTCCCCTAACCTGTACTTATGACACCTATTCCTATGCCCCAAGTGCAAGACCTTGCACTTACCCACATTGAACGCCATCCTGTTGTCTCCTGCCCAATTCCATAGTCTGTCCAGATCCTTTTGGATCTGGAGTACCTGCTCCCCAGTTGTGGCCACTGCTCCAGTTTTAGTGTCGTCTGCGAATGTGATCAGCAGACTGTTCACCCCTTCTTCCATGTCATTTATGAAAAGATTAAACAGGATCGGCCCCAGGACAGAGCTCTGGGGGACCCCGTTTGTCACTGCCCGCCATCCTGATGATTCCTAACTAATGGTTGCCCTCTGCTTTCAGTCAGTCAGCCATGCCCTAATCCACTGGACAGTGCTTTGCTGTATCCCAAAACTCCTCAGTTTCTCCACCAGGATATCATGGGGCACTTTGTGAAAGGCCTTGCTGAAATCCAGGTAAACTACATCCACTGAATCCCTTCCATCTATCTATCTCGAAACCTTGTCGTAGAATTCCACAAGGTTTGTCTGGCAGGACCTGTTTTTGCGGATATAAACCATTAAAGCTATCCTTGCTTCTGACAAGCATTCTTTCCTCTTTGTGTCTACTTGACTACAATTGGAATAATCCTGGTGGCTTAAATAGGCATTTGTTTTAGGTGTAAGAAAATGGAAACTTGCACGGATGGGAGGCATGGATGGGTATCCTGCCTTCTGATCAGCCTGTGCACTTGGGCTTATGGTTTGCTTTCTTTCTTCCTTCAGGGGCTGCCTGACTCAGGAGAAGATAGTCGCTGGCTTTGCCAAAAGTTTTATAGTCATTGCTGATTACAGGTATAATTTGCTGGCATTTGTCCCTTCTTTCTTCCAGAAGGTTCTTCCATTTGTCCTTTCTTGCAAAAGGAAGAGTTATTTGGCCATCATTGCTGGTTGGTTATTGCTTGTATCAGATGCTCCTGTAGGTAACTGTAAACCCATGTAGATTGTCTAGTTTTCTTCATTATGTATATAAATTTGTTTGTTGCCAAGACCTCTTTTCATCCCAGCAGTGGAATCATTCTTTGCACTCACCACAAGGTAGTTCAGATTAGTTTTGCTTTGGCCCCTCAGATGGAAAGCACCCCACCAGCTCCAGTAAGGACTGCTCTGAGGGAGCTAGACTTAATGGATAGGATAGGACAGCAGAAACATAATCTGTAAGGAGAGAAAGGGAGAGCTTGCTTTCCTGGTTTGTTGATGGATGGCCCTTCTACCCATAACTTTCTGGATGGATTTGGGAGATGGTAGTTAGGAAGCTGAATCAGCTGAATCAGGACCAGAGACCCAGAAGAAATCTGGGAGAGGGAAGAAACATCAGAGATGCAAGGTCCTGCCCCCAACCCTGCCCATCTAATTCAGAATGATAAGCTAGCCCACGAAGTGAAATTCCTTGGCACCTGACAGCACTTCCCTGCCATTTTCTTGCTAAAGAATGCTCTTGGGTATGATGGCCACTTGCCCCCTCTTTAAAATGGGGGAGGCCTTGGTGTGCAGTGCCCTACACATGAATCCTCTATGTCACATGCTGCTGAGTCTGTGACTACACTGCCACCGTATGAGGCAGATCCACAGTCTCTTCTACTGTGCAGTCCCTTTCCATTTGAGCTAGCAGGTTTGAACATCAGGACTGAAAACACTTCCTCAGTTTTAAATGCTGAGCTTAAGCTAGGAATGGAAGTGAGGGCCTCTTTTCTTATGCCCACCACCAGAAAAGGTGTCTCATGCTCAAAATGGCATAAAACTTCCCTTTTGGGGGCAGCATGCTGCAGTCCTTACTCGCACTGATGAGCAGGTGAAGAGACACTGAACAAGTTTTCCCCTGCACAGGGACTTGTGTGGCTGCTTTTCTCATACCAGCTTTCTTCAGCCTGATGCCCATGCTGGCTGGGACTTATTATTATTATTATTATTATTATTATTATTATTATTATTATTATAACATTTCTATGCCGCCCCTTGCCGAAACCTCGGGGCGGCTTACAACACGATAAAATACAATGAAATGCAATAGCACATAATAAATTACCATTAAATACAAAGTACAAAAAATACATTGGTTTACAAATATAAGATTAAAATTATCAGTATAATTTAAGTAAATAAAAATATAGGAGGAGAAAGAGAAGGAAGAAGAAGTTGCCCTGGCCAGATCATATGTTCTAACAATTCAAATGATGTTTAAATAAAAAGGTCTTTACCTGGCGCCGAAAAACCAGTAATGACGGTGCCAGGCGGACCTCTTTGGGGAGTGAATTCCATAGGTTGGGTGCCACCGCAGAGAAAGCCCTCCTCCGAGTACTTACTCTCCTAATTTCTTTCGTGGAGGGTTCCTGGAGAAAGGACTCTCCCGCAGATCTCAAAGGGCGGTCGGGCATATACGGATGTAAGCGCTCGTTCAGGTAGCCAGGACCCAAGCCGTTTAGGGCTTTATAGGTCATAATCAACACCTTGAATTGGGCCCGGGCTTCAATGGGAAGCCAGTGAAGCTGATGGAGGACTGGAGTCATGTGAGCATAACGCCCCGTCCCCGTCAGCAACCTGGCAGCTCTATTTTGCACCAATTGAAGTGTTCGGACCGTCTTCAGGGGAAGCCCCACGTAAAGCGCGTTACAGAAGTCTAGGCGGGAAGTCACCAGCGCGTGTGTCACCGTCGCCAGGCAGTCGTACTCCAGGTAGGGGCGCAGCTGATGAATCAGCTGAAGCTGAAGGAAGGCGCTCCTTGCCACCGCTGTCACCTGAGCTTCCAAAGAAAGCTCCGGGTCGAGGAGTACTCCTAAGCTGCGGACCTTGTCCCTAAGAGGGAGTGTTGCACCATTCAGGACCAGGTCAAACCCACCCTCTCCAAAACCCGATCCGCCAACCAACAGGACCTCCGTCTTGTCTGGGTTGAGTTTCAGTTTATTGGCCCTCATCCAGCCCATTACCTCGGCCAAGCACCAGTTCAGCACAGCCACTGCCTCACCTGGATTAGTGGAAAACGAGAGGTAGAGCTGGGTATCATCAGCGTATTGATGATTCCGCAGCCCACACCTCCTGATGACCTCTCCCAGCGGTTTCATATAGATGTTAAATAGCAGAGGGGATAGAATGGAGCCCTGTGGTACCCCATGGCATAGCTGCCATGACGTAGAGACATGGTCCCCCAGCACTACCTTCTGGAATCGACCGTCGAGATAGGAGCGGAACCACTGCAAAGCAGTGCCTCCAACCCCCAATCCCGCAAGTCTATCCAGAAGGATACCATGGTCGATGGTATCGAAAGCCGCCGAGAGGTCCAGAAGAACCAACAGGGATGCACTCCCCCTGTCCTTCTCCCTGCACAGGTCGTCGTACAGGGCGACCAAGGCAGATGGGAGTTGCCTTCCACAGTATATGGAATGCACTAGGTGAGAGAAGGCTACTCTGTGCCCTGCACTGAGAGGCTCATGCTCTCCTAGGAACTCAGAAAGTCGGGCAGGTTAGCAGCCATGCATCCCGCCATAATTCAGTGGGAGGACTGAATTGTCAGACACATGAAATGCTGCATCTGCCCTTTGGCTTCTCTCAGCTGTGTTTTGGTTGCCAGTACTAAGGTAAGGTTACCTTTTCCATAATTTTGATGTACATATTTTAAACTACATTCCTGTAGGAAAAAGTCTAAAAACCTTGGAGAGCAGTGGAAGAAAGGGATTCCCATTGAAGTCATCCCAATGGCTTATGTGCCGATCAGCAGAGCTTTGGCCAGGCAGTTTGGGGGTGTTGCAGAGCTGAGGATGGCTATCAGTAAAGCTGTAAGTATGATGAGGGAGCAAAGTTGCATTGCTGAAAAGTGCTTCAGTGCCCTGTACAGAGGACCATTAAGTGGCTGGAAGATTAAGTGGTGTTGAAACAGTCACTACTGTGGGGGGGTTTCCTATTAAGATAATATTAAAGCAGCTTTTCTGAGATTCCCTGGTTGGTTTCATTTCAGGAAGAGCCAGAGAAAGCAACATTGTGCTTGCTGCCTACTGTCCTTGGCCATTGGCACAAGTACTTTAGCACAACAAGGCAGCTGCTTTCCAGGAACTGTTATAAAACTGTTGGCCACTCCTGTAACTTTGCACATGCCAACAATGACTCTTAAAACTGTGTCATGTCTCCCAGTCCATTTCCAAGCACAATTCAAAGTAAGTTTAGGGCACAATTTCTCTTCTTGGCAGCCCCAGCCTTCAATGTGTTGGTGGCAGAATGTTGTTACCTTGGTTAGGAGTCAAAAGTTTGCAGAACTGGCTGCTGACAGTGTTGTCCTGGTTATCATGCCACCATTCGCCCTCAAAAGGAAATGCCCAAGAGCATTTGCTGCTGTGGAACAAGTGTCAGGAAGCAGAGGTTGAATGTGTGGCAGCAGTCGTGGGGGCACTTCTCTCCCCTTTTTCCTAATTCAGCCCGAAAGTCTACCTTAGTTAATTTCTGGCTTAGCCATAAACCTCCAGAGAGGTAGCTAGTTTGTAGGAGCATAAACTTTCATGGAAGGTATCTTGTCTGTGACAATTCTATGTCAAACTTGAAACATTTCTCTGTAATACTTCTGTGTAATCACCTGCTGTAAATGGTGATAACACAGCAGTCTTTGCATTGCTCAGTAACACCGCAGGTGGGACAGGAAACCACGAGCTTGAATGAAGCCTGTGTGGTTAGAATCTTTAACAGTACCTGGTCTTCTAGGGCTAGAACCTTTTTATTTGCCATACCTGTTTTCCCCAACCCAAATCTTGGTTCCAGGTTTTTATTTTTTTTTTTAATTAAAAAATTACCTTTATTTACCTGGGTGTTTAAAGATTCTTGTCTTCATGTTGAGACAGTCTTGTTACCCTACTGTTTATTGTATTGTTTTGATCATTTTTTACTTTTTTGTTTTGAAGTTTCCTGTTTTGGGTGATCACTGGAAAGTAAGAGCAAGGATATTACATACCCTAGATAAATAAGGGCCAGTTGACACTTCCCTTCAATTGTACCGGAGCCCCTACTGCAACGCTGGGATCCCCTAATGGTCTGAGTTGCATGTGGTGATTTCTCTCTCACTTAAACATTCCTAGTAGGGAGGATGCCTTTTAATATGAAGGGTCTGCTATTTGAAAGTGTGAAGACTTGTTGTGTTCAATACCTGCATACTTTAACATGTCTAAAATTTAATGTTACAAGCCCTTTTTTAATGAATACCTTCAAGGTCTTGTGGAAAAATCAGAGTCATTACGATTATTAGAACTTCAGTTTTTTTGTTAAAGATATAAAATACCTATAATAGCAAGATAATATTTGAATATTTTATAATGTGGAATGAAGAACTGGATCATTCAGTATGCATTGTGTTAAGGCATTGTGTGAAGTGCCTGATCCTGCCTAGTCTTGGAAGCTAAGCAGGGTTAGCCCTGATTAGAATGTGGATGGGAGACTTGAGTCTTGCTTTGAGTAGAGGGTTGGGCCCAGTGGCCTTCTAGGTCCCTTCCAGCTGTATAATTCTATGATTCACTTGATGGAACTTTAGTTGTTCACTTCAGATTATGTGTATTCTATAAACAAAATTTACTCCAGATCTTCCCATGCCTATATGCTAATTTGCCACCTGGTTTACTAAATATCTTCCATTAAATGGTCCTGTTCCTTGTTAGGGGCCTGTGGTGACAGACAATGGGAACTTTATTTTAGACTGGAAATTTGATAAAGTTCATCACTGGAATGAAGTCAATATGGCAATCAAGATGATACCAGGTAATTTTCATATACTGTTTTACTAGATGATCTTGCAAAGTGTTTGTATGGTGATCCCAGTTGTCAGTTACTGTCTGACAAAAAGAGGTGTTTTTGCCATTTCTGGCAGACATATTAATAGTTTTCAAATTGTGTAAGTTGGAATTCCAAAATGATTAAGAATCCAATAATTTTGTTCACAAATAAGCATAAAAGTATATGTGAAATCTGAATATCCCAGGAGCAAAATTAAATCTGAGCTAAATATGTTGTATTTTGACTTGGCTGTATAGAATTGTTGCAAAGTAAACATTTGTGAATTCCTCAGTTATTCCTTTACTGGGGTGGTAGGTGGAGAGTATTAGTCTGTACTTGCAAATGTATCAAGGTAGAGGCGATATTGTTTCATTATATTCTTCAAAGCAAGATGTATTGGTGCAATACACATGTTTAAAATGCTTCCTTTTCCTTAGTGCTGTTTACATTTGAAATCTTAAACAGATTTGTTCATGTACATTGGTTCCATACAATATGAACTGCATGCCATTCTTAAAATACTCCTTTATTTTATTTATTTTCCTGAATGAGTAACCTGGGAACTAATGGGATATTGATAAAAGAAATTCTTAACTACTAGAAACCTAAACAGCAGCCTGGAACATACTCTAGCTTCCCTAGGCAATATCCTATACTTCACCACTAGAGTTGGGATGAATCCTAGTGGAATCTGTCCCTCAGCATTCACAGACTTCTTCTTGCACTCAGCCTGGTGTTGCAAAGCAAGCCAAGTTGAGAGGAAGTCTGCAAACACTGGTGAAACAAAGGTTGAGTAGTCTTTGCCATCTGTGTGAAGGGCAGCAAAGGAGAGGGATGCTGCGTGCAGTTGTGCAGGGTTTCACTCCTGGGGAACTCTGCACAACTAACTTTCTTCCGCAACAGATGATTCTGAATGCTGCTGCACCTGCTGGACCCCCTTCTGGAGTCTGGGTCATGCCACAGCTGGTCATTCGATCTCCATCCTTTCTACTGTCTATATCTGTTACCGAACTCAGCCAGTCAACAGCTAAGGCAAACCCGGGTGGACCCAAGACCCAAGTCAAAAGGAGCCTGAGACAAGACTTAGAGCCAAAACCAGCTTTATTCTAGTGTGCTATAGAATAAAGGGAGACAAAAGGGGACATTCAGCCCAAACCAGTGTCTTGAAAGTTGCACCCTGGTACATGAGTTTTATACCCTAGGTAAGCAATTAGGTCACCTAATACACAACTAATGTATTGATACATCAATGTATGCACCCCCATGCTGGAAAAAGAGTTCTTTCTTCTGTCAAGGACCAGACATTTTCCATGTCTATTTCTTATCTGCTCGAGAGTCACACAGGCTTGCCATATTCTTACTCCCTGCACATTTACAACTTTCATGGCAGCTAGAACCAGTTTCCACTGTCCCTTTGATTACTGTATTCAAGGTCAGGCTAGTGTGTTAGCTGTGGGTTACACAAAGTTCATTTGGTTCTTATCCGCCCTCCCTTCTGGGACAGTATAATTGTGATGTATTTGCTATGTGGCCTTCCTCTGGCCAATTACTTTTCGGGTGTTTTGGGGTGCTGCAATTGGCAACATATCTGTTGGAGTCAGCCACCACAGGGATATTACAATCCATGGGGGTATTTTGGTAACCACGACCTCTTCTACGGGCATCAGTTCTGAGTGGAGTACCATCCTGAACCATCCAGGAGATGGGAGCAGTTCTTGGACCACCTGGCATTCTGTAGACCACCACTGAGATCACAATGGGCAGCTTTTCTGCTCACATACCTTCACACATGCCCAGAACTTTCTGCCTCCTCCACTATGGCATGACATTGATTGCATTCTCCTGCCTCTCTCCTTCCAGACCATGCCCTTTGTCTTTGCCTACACATCTGACACTGACACCTACTCATCAGTTATGTGTCTGCTTCCTCTCCAGATGTAGTTTTGGGAGCCCAGGACTCAGTTTTCCATTGGTGGACATGAACCACCTTTCTGAGCAAGTCCAGAGGATGATCCAGTCACTAGGACTGGTGACACAGCTACAAATGAAAGAAGTGTTGAACCCAGGGTCCATTGCCATCTACATGGAGGAATTGATGGTTGTGACTATACCATTTCTGCCCATGCTGCTACAGACTGAGCAGAAGTTGTGGAAGGCCTCGTTGTCAATGGACAAAGAGTCTGGAAAGCATATATAGTGTGCAGGAGAAGGACATGGCCTTTCTTTTCCAACATCCAAAATTGAGCTCTGGCACAGGGAAGGTCACATCACAAGCACACAGTGCTGGTTAACAAGGATGCTGTCTGCTTGATATGGGGAGCCACATTTACTCATCCTTTGTGCTGGGACTTCAGGTGGCCAAATAACAGGTCATCATGGTGAGATACCAACTTTTCCTTTGATAAAAAAAACACATTCCTTTGCAACCACCTACCAGAGAACCAGAGGAAGCTCACCAGTCTTTCCCCCTAAGTGACGTGTTCCTCCTGACTGCAGATCAACACCATGAGACACCATGAGACCTTCATTGCAGCATGAAGGTCATGCACTATGGAGGCATGCCTACCTCAGCTCGTCTGGCCTGTTGCAAGAGCATGTATTGAACTGCTACAATTTGATGCCATTTGTCTTCAATGTGAAGATAGAAAAACACATGGACACCATCCATAAGGCACAGACAGTGGCAAGGAGATTGGGGATCTACTAATTTTCCCCATTCAGGCCATGTAAGTGACTTGGGATTGGTCCATTTTCACTCCTGGCTGATGGATTGTCTTGGCAAAACTTTTCATTGCAATTGAGGTGGAAAGACAGTCCTGGTAAGTATTGTCAGGGCTTCAAGTACTCCAACGGAGATTGGTGGCAGCAGTGGCTAGTTTCCTGGACTGGGTCCATTTCTTTCACAGTTTTATGTGATCAGCATTAGTCTTCCTTCCCACATGGGAAGCAATAACTTGGATGCCTGGATTTTATCTGTTGTGGAGAAAGGTTACAGGATCAAATTTTATGCCATATGGCCTTTCAGTACCATAAGGAGCACAGCTCCATCTCCATCCTTCTTGAGGAGGAGGTAGAATTGTTAATTTTGAAAAGTGTGATAGAGCAGGTTGATTCCTTCCAAGTCCATCATGGATTCTATTCCAGATATTTGATGGAACTGAAGTAGGCCGAAGAACTCTGACTTGATCGTGTACCTGAGAGACCTCAGCCCCTTCATCATACCAAAGATGTTTTGAATGGTCATCTTGCAAAGCATCTTGCCCTTGCTTCAAGGAGGAGATTGGGTCATCTTGGTAGACCTGAAGGATATGTACTTAGACAACTCCTTAGAACGTTCACACGGGCACTTCCAGTTTGAAAGAGAGACCAAAACCGTTTTGTGTTTTATCCTTCAGAATGCCTACAGCCCTGCAAGTATTTACCAAATGGTAAATGGTGGTATATGACCATTTGTCTCCAAGGAGTCCAGGCCTACTCATACACCTGGCTAATTGTGGCAGCTTCCAAAAGGCACCTGCTAGGCTCCATCCACACTACCTGCACTTTGTTAAACAGTCTGTTTAAACTTGGGAAAATCAGATTTCCCCTTCCCAGTCAATATTCTACATTGGGGCACAACTAGATTGCATCTCAAGAGCAGCATATCTCCCAGAGATAGGAGTGGCAGCAGTTGTCAAGATGATCAGGTTTCACAGGCAATACACTGTCATGGCCCTCCCAATCCAGTGGCTTCTCAGCTTCATGGCAGCAACAGTTGTGGTATGGCTTTCGGTATGTCCTCTGAAGCTTTGATTAATCCATAGTTATCACCCCATGGAAGACTTAAGTGGCTGCACCTTTGGATGCCAAAATCTGTTGGATTCAGTACTGATTGGTGGACACTTACCTTCAACTTGTTGAAAAGGATGCCATTCACTCCACCTGAACCAACTTCACAATGGATGCCTCCCTGTCTGGTTGGGGAGCCCAGTGCGCTTCTCCAAAGACTCAAAAGATGTGGAATGAATACAAAGTCCACAAGCATATCAACCACCTGGAAATGTCTGTAGCGAAGAAGGCCTTTGTCTTGTTTCTGCTCAGTCATCACATCAAGATCACTGCAACAGTGATCTACATAAACAGGGAGGCATTCATCTATTGGTGAATGATTGGCTATGAAGGTGGTGCGTATGTGAGCTATTCATATTCTGGGACCACAGATGGACTGCTAGCAAGGGATGGGTTGCTTCTCACAAAAGCTGGAAAAAATGTTTGCCCACAGCATGAAGCATTTCGTCAGGAGGGATTTACACTGAATTCGACCGGGGAGGGAGACATCGATGAGGCAACACCAGATGAAGACTTATGTGTCATAACAGAGGGAAGAGCTCTTGTAGCATCCCAAAATAGCCTTCTCAGTAATGTAGGAAAGAATGCAGACCATGAACCACATGTGAGGTCTGGGGTGTGAGAGGCAGGTGATGATGGTTGGAATGCCAGAACCAGGGCACAGGTGCAAGGGGGAGTCCTGCAGTGGGTTCAGAGGGCCAGATGCAGGAGGCATTTTGTTTAACAGTCCATATTCAAAGCCAGGGAGATGATAGATCCAAGCAAACACAGGCCAAGTTGTCACAATCCAAAAACATAGTCCAAGAGCACAGTCCAAACAGTCCACAGTCCAGAAAGACAGCCCAACCTCCTGCCCAGTGCAGGACTCCCAAGTTAAAGTTTCCCTGCAGGAAGCTATCCGACTGCCCCTTGAATCCCTCCAGTGTGGAAGAACTTACCGCCTCTCTAGGTGATTCATTCCAGCCAGGAAGTGTTTCCTGAGGTCCAGCTGGAATTTTGCTTCCTGTAATTTGAGTCTGTTATTCCATGTCCTGCACTCTGGGATAATTGAAATGAGATCCAGCCCTTCCCCTTTGTCACAGCCTTTCAGGTACTTGTAGAGTTTTATCATATCTCCCTCATTCTTCTTGAGGTTAAACATGTCCACCTCTGTCAAT